CCCCGTCTCTACTAAAAATACAAAAATTAGCTGGGCATGGTGGCACATGCCTATAATCCTAGATACTCAGGAGGTTGAGGCAGCATAATTGTTTGAGACCAGCCTGGGCAACATAGTGAGACCCATCTCTACCAAAGATAAAAATTGTAGCCGGGTGTGATGCATGCATCTGTGGACCCAGCTACTCGGGAGAATTGCTTGAGCCCAGGAGGTCAAGGCTGCAGTGAGCTGTGATCACAACACTGCACTCCAGCCTGGGTGACAAAGCAGGACTCTATTTAAAAAAAAAAAAAAAAAAAAAAAAAAAGGCCACACATGGTAGCTCACACCTGTAATCCCAGCACTTTGGGAGACCGAGGTGGATGGATCACTTGAAGTCAGAAGTTCATGACCAGCCTGGCCAATATGGTAAAACCCTGTCTCTACTAAAAATATAAAAATTAGCTGGGCATGGTGGCCCATTCCTGTAATCCCAGATACTCAGGAGGCTGAGGCAGGAGAACTGTTTGAACCTGGGAGGCAGAGGTTGCAGTGAGCCGAGATCATAGCACTCACTCCAGCCTAGGTGACAGAGCAAGACTCCATCTCAAAATAATAATACTGATAAAATAAAAGTATATAAAATTAGTTAATTTTTTTTTTTTTTAAAAAGACTTTCTCTCCTCATTAGTATAGTGGTGAGAACCCCCGCCAAAAGAAAAAAAAAGACATTCTCATTAGTCATTCATTCAGTTGCAGGCTGGGTAGCTGGAGGTGCAGAATGTGCAGTCTTGTTTGGTCCTCACGACAACCCCATGGCACAGCTATGACTCCTGTCTCGGTCCTAGGAAGAAACTGAGGCTTGCAGCCGTAGGGAAGGTCAGCTAGCAGGTCAGAGCCAGGAGCCAATCCCAGTCATCTTATTCCAGAAAACTTCAAATCCTTAGCCCCAACATCACTCCGGTTGAATTTTTCAAAGGGGGCTACAGTCAGAGAGTAAAAAATGTGTAGTTCTAGTGAGGACACAGGGTCAGGGCAGGCTGCTGGGACTTGGGATGGTGATGGCTACAAACAACCCACCTGGCTGTGAGAGGAGAAGGCTGCCCACCTCTCCATGGGACACTCAGGTGGGAAGCCCCAAGCTCACCTGAAGATACTGGAAGCAGTTTTCCTGGGCTGCGAAGATTCCCGCCAGGCGGAGTGAGAAGGAGAGGACCCCGGGACTCAGGTCCTGGAGTTTCAGCACGTGAGACAGCAGCTCCACCAGGCAGGGGTGCTCCTGCAGCAGCAGGAGACTAGACTCTGTGGGAACGGGCCCAGCCCAGGGGTCACCAGGGGCACAGCACCACATGTGCCCCTGGGCAACCGCTCTTCTCCTAGGAATTTCCAGACCCCTTTCTTGCAGGGTGTTAGATTTAGGGATCCAACTGGGAAAAACTATTTGCAACAAATATGGCAAATGACTCATAATTTTAATTCAATAAGGGCAGAAAAACTAGAAAGCTGACACCTTACCAACAGGTGAAAGGCAGAACTGGAAACACAAATACCCAAAGATGCTAAAAAATGTTCTGTCTCACTGATCATGAGAAGTAAATGCAAATTGCAGTGAAAGACAAAGCGAAGTGTGGTGGCTCATGCCTGTAATGTCAGCACTTTACAAGGCTGAGATGAGTGGTCACTTGAGCTCAGGAGTTCGAGACCAGCCTGGCCAACATGGTGAAACCCCATCTCTACTAAAAATACAAAACATTAGCTGAGCATGGTGGCTCATATCTGTAATCATAACACTTTAGGAGGCCAAGGTGGGAGGATCGCTTGAGCTCAGGAGTTCGAGACCAGCCTGGCCAACAGAGTAGAGGTAAGTAGAGACAGAAGCCTTGTCTCTACTTAAAATACAAAATATTAGCCAGGTGTGGTGGCTCGTGCCAACAGTCCCAGCTAATTGGGAGGCTGAGGCAGGAGAATTGCTGGAACCTGGGAGGCAGAGGTTGCAGTAAGCCAAGACAACATCATTGCACACTCCAGCCTGGGCAACAGAACAAGACTCCATCTCAATAAAACAAAGAAAACAGAAAGTGAAAGCATTTTCACCTCTCAAATGAATACTTTTTCTTAAACAGAGAGTGCTCTGTGCAAGGAGGTACAATGGAACAAGCATTCCTCTGCAGACCTGGCATCCTACATTTCTATACCCAGCTATACTATCACTCAAAAGCACCAGTGAGAGAAAAAGACCTTTTGAGGCAGAGGCTGGAAGAATTTCCCAGTGAGAGGCCCTTGTGGAAAGAATATGGTTCAGTAAGGAGGTGAGTAAGGAGCATGCAGAGAAAGAGAACCAGGCCAGGACCCAAAAAGCACTGAGTCTACCTGAATAAGCACTGCAGGCTGGGCAAAGTCATCAAGCCTGTCGTCTTAGCACTTTAGGAGGCCAAGGCAGGAGGATTGCTTGAGCCCAGGAGTTCGAGAGCAGCCTGGGTAACATAGCAAGACCCTATCTCTACAAAAAAAAAAAAAAAAAAAAAGCCTGACGCACATCTGCAGTCCCAGCTCTTCATGAGGTAGAGATGGGAGAATCACTTGAGCCCTGGAGTTCAAGGCTGCAGTGAGCTATGATTGTACTCCAGACTAGGTGACCGACAGAGGCCCTGTCTCTAAGGAAAAAAACAAAAAGAGGGCTGGGCATGGGGGCTCATGCCAGTAATCCCAGCATTTTGGGAGGCTGAGGCGGGTGGATCATGAGGTCAAGAGTTCAAGACCAGCTTGACCAACACAGTGAAACCCCATCGCTACAAAAAAAAAAAAAAAAAATACAAAATTAGCTGGGCTTGGTGATGTATGCCTGTAAATCCCAGCTAGCTGGAAGGCTGAGGCAAAGAATCACTTGAACCCGGGAGGCAGAGGTTGCAGTGAGCCGAGATGACACCACTGCACTCTGGCCTGGCCAACAGAGCAAGACCCTGTCTCAGGGGAAAAAAACAAACAACCCCATTGAGTTCAGAAGCTAAAAAATCACTGCTGAAGGGTTTTGAAACAAAACAGAATTAAAATACTAAGCAACTAAACAACAATAACAGAAGGTTGCGATGGCTTGAAGTCAAAGGGCTCTGAGATCCTTTAGTTGTCTGGATAGAGGACAGAGTCTAATTAACTTCAGACTTAAAAAAAATCTAGTTCTCATGTTATAAATCTAAAGGTAGCCACTAAAGAACATAAATAAGTCTGCAGTCCCAACATCTTGAGAGGGAGAGGTGGGCAGATTGCTTGAGCCCAGGAGTTCAAGACCAGCCTGGGCAACATAGGGAGATCCCATCTCTATAAAAATTCCCTGAGCGTGGTGCCACACTGGAAGCTGAGATGGGAAGATCACCTGAGCCCAGGAGGTCAAGGCTGGAATAAGCCGCGATTGCACCATTGCAGGCCAGCCTGGTCAACAGAGTGAGATCTTATCTAAAATAAATAAATAAATAGAACGTATAACTTAAAAACCAGAAGAGGAAAGCTTTATCAATCTGATCAATCTGATGGAAGGCAGAAAAGGAGGATAAAGGCACAAAGATAAGGCACAGGAAATTAAAAAATACAAAAGAATTGAAATCTAACAGAGGCCTCAACAAATTAAAGAGATCAAACTTATCTGTTAAAAGAGTTGCTGAGATTAAATGAAACACTAAAAATGGGCAATGCTTTTAGTGTTTATTTTAATGTTTCTAATAAGTGTTTCTAAGAAGCAATGATCATGATGGGAAAGGCTGGGAGCAGGGGAGAAAAAGATACAGTAGGCAGATTCTAACTTTAAAAAAGCTGGTGTAGCAACAGTAATATCAGACAAAATGGACAGTAGTGCAAAAAGCAGTATTCATGCAAAAGAAATTTTCACTGATCACAGAGAGAAACTCCAGAAAGGCACAACCTTCCTACGTCTATTTGTGCCTAACCTAACTTCAAAACATACAAAGCAGCCTGGGCAACATGGTGAAACCCTGTCTCCACAAAAACACACAAAAAATTACCTGGGTGTGGTGGTGTGTGCCTGTAGTCCCAGCTATCCAGGAGGTTGAGGCTAAAGTGAGCTGTCATCACGCCACTGCACCCTATCCTGGGTGACAGAATGAGACCCTGTCTCAAAAATTCTTCTAAAAATGCCAGGCACAGTGACTCACATCTGTAATCTCAGTGTTTTAGGAAGCCAAGGCAGGCAGATTACTTGAGCCCAGGAGTTTGAGACGAGCCTAGGCAACACAGTGAAACCCCGCCACTACAAAAAATACAAAAAATTAGCCAGGCATGAGGGTCGGCTCCTGTAGTTCCAGCTACTAGGGAGGCTGAGATGGGAGAATCATCTGAGCTCAAGAAGTCGAGGCTATAGTAAGCCGAGATCACACCACTGCACTCTAACCTGGATGACAGAGTGAGACTCCGTTTCAAAAAAAAAAAAAAAAAAATTTGTAAAGCCAAAAAAGTATGCATTTCAAGGAAAAACTGTTGAATCCATGATCTTGGTGTAAGCTTTTTACAAACCTCTCAGAAACAAGCAAACAAATTAACATAGCAGGTTTGAATAATGAACAAGTGTGGAAATTTGATACATAATTTGCATAGCATGCAATTCACCCATTTAACATGTACCAGATCCCTTAGTAGTTTGTAAGTATGATCATTTTTTTGTTTTTGGGACCAAGTCTTGCTCTGTTGCCCAGGCTGGAGTGCAGTGGCGCGATCTCAACTCACTGCAACCTCCGCCTCCCAGGTTCAAATGATTCTTCTACCTCAGCCTCCCGAGTACCTGGGATTACAGGCAGAAATACTGAAAGAGTGGAAACTACACCCTTTCCATCAAGCACAAGGCAGGAGAAATGACAGAGGCTGGGAGGGAGGAGGAAACAGAGATTCACTGCAAATCAGGACTCAGTTTCTTTAGGGGGAACAAAATTAGATTGTGCTGATGATTTCACAGCCATGTAAATTTACTGAGAACTGTTGAATTGGTACCATTTATTTATTATTTTGTCCTTTCCTCATGTCAGACAGGTCACGTGCCAACCTCATACCATGGTTCCATGGTGCCACATCTCGCACGAGCACCTGAACACACAATTATCATGCTTAGGCTGTGTGCAGTGGCTTTCCCCTATAATTCCAACACTTTGGGAGGCCAATGTGGGCAGATCACCTGAAGTCAGGAGTTTGAGACCAGCCTGGCCAAAGTGGTGAAACTCTATCTCTACTAAAAATACAAAAATTAGCCAGGTATGGTGGCATGCACCTGTAATCCCAGGTACTCAGGACGCTGAGGCAGATAACTGTTTGAACCTGAGAGGCAGAGGCTGCAGTGAGCCGAAATTGTGCCACTGCACTCCAGCCTGGGCGACAGAGCAATACTTGGTCTGGAAAAAAAAAAAAAAATTATCACATTTGCAAAAGGATTTGGTACACGTTAAATGGGTGAATTGCATGGTATGCAAATCATACCTCAATAAAACTACTGAAAAATACTTCCTAAAATTTGACTACAGGCAGGGCATGGTGGTTGGCTTCTGTGATCCCAGCACTTTGGGAAGCCAAGGCAGGAAAACTGCTTGAGCCCAGGAATTCCAGACCAGCCTGGGCAAGATGGTGAGACCTCATCTCTATGGTTAAAAAAAACCACATAGCTGGGCAGGGTACACACCTGTGATCCCAGCAACTTGAGAGAATGAGGCAGGAGGATTGCTTGAGCCCAGGAGATCGAGGCTACTACTACAGAGAGCTGTGTTCATGCCACTGCACTCCATCCTGAGTGACAGGGAAAAACCTTGGCTCCAAAAAAAAAAAAAAGAGAAAGAAAAGTAAAGAAAAATAAAACTGACTACAAACTAGTCCAGAAGGTCTTTAAATACCAAAACATCAAAATCTTTTTTTTTTTTTGAGACGGAGTTTTGCTCTTGTTACCCAGGCTGGAGTGCAATGGCGCGATCTCGGCTCACCGCAACCTCCGCCTCCTGGGCTCAGGCAATTCTCCTGCCTCAGCCTCCTGAGTAGCTGGGATTACAGGCACGTGCCACCATGCCCAGCTAATTTTTTGTATCTTTAGTAGAGACGGGGTTTCACCATGTTGACCAGGATGGTCTCGATCTCTTGACCTCGTGATCCACCCGCCTCGGCCTCCCAAAGTGCTGGGATTACAGGCTTGAGCCACCGCGCCCGGCCTCAAAACATCAAAATCTACAGTGAAATCTCTAGAACATTAACAAAACTTGCCTGGGCCCTATGTTTCAATAAAAGTCTCAACAGCCATAAAGATTCAAAACATAGATTATATTTTCTAACCTCCACAAAATAAATTAAAAATCAATAATAAAAATACTGAAAATATCAAAATAGTTTCTTTTTTTTTTTTTTGAGATGGAGTTTCGCTCCTTACCCAGGCTGGAGTGCAATGGCACGATCTCGGCTCACCGCAACCTCCGCCTCCTGGGTTCAGGCAATTCTCCTGCCTCAGCCTCCTGAGTAGCTGGGATTACAGGCAAGCGCCACCATGCCCAGCTACTTTTTTGTGTTTTTAGTATAGACGGGGTTTCACCATGTTGACCAGGATGGTCTCGATCTCTCGACCTCGTGATCCACCCGCCTCGGCCTCCCAAAGTGCTGGGATTACAGGCTTGAGCCACCGCGCCCGGCCCAATAGTTTCATATTTTGAAATGAAAAGATATTCTTTTAAATAAATTGTGAGTGAACAAAAATCGTAATGAAAACCATGAAATATTTAGAACTAAATTACAACTCAAGTACTGCATAGTAAAACTTGTAAGATGTAACTAAAGTCATACTTGTAGAGAAATTTATAGCAATATATAAATATAAATATATACATAGATTTTTTATTTTTTTTTTTTTGAGACAGAGTCTCACTCCATTGCCCAGGCTGGAGCGCAATGACACGATCTCAGCTCACTGCAACCTCCACCTCCTGGGTTCAAGTGATTCTCCTGCCTCAGCCTTCCAAGTACCTGGGATTACAGGCATGGATCACTACGTCTGGCTAATTTTTGTATTTTTAGTAGAGACACGGTTTCACCATGTTAGCCAGACTGGTCTCCAACTCCTGACCTCAAGTGATCTGCCTGTCTCAACCTCCCAAAGTGCTGGGATTACAGGCATGAACCACCAAGCCTGGCCTTAAATGTATATATTAGAAAGCAAGGAAGACTGAGATATTTAGCTCAAAAGAAGGTAAAAGGCACTTTGGGAAGCAGAGGCAGATGTCCAAGAACAGCGATGTCAATTTAGTGAGACTAAAAAGAGTAAAAGGACAAGGTAAAACAAAAAAACGAAGTAAAGAACAGCAGAAATTAACAACATGTGATCTATCCCAACACAATTATCAACCATGAGAAAAAACATTTAAACATTAAAAAAAAAAGAGAGAGAGAGCAACATAAGCATCTAATAGTAAGAGTGAAGTGATTAAATGAATTATGGATTATAATGGCAAGAGAGAAAGCAAGACATCAAAACTGTATTTATGGTATGACCTTTTTTTTTTTTTTTGGAGACAAAGTCTCGTTCTGTCACTAAGGCTGGAGTGCAGTGTCACGATCTCAGCTCGCTGCAATCTCCACCTCCAGGATGCAAGCAATTCTCTGCCTCAGCCTCCTGAGTAGCTGGGATTACAGGCATGTGCCACCACACCTGGCTTTTTTTTCTCTTTTTTTTGAGACGGAGTTTCGCTCTTGTTACCCAGGCTGGAGTGCGATGGCGTGATCTCGGCTCACCGCAACCTCTGCCTCCTGGGCTCAGGCAATTCTCCTGCCTCAGCCTCCTGAGTAGCTGGGATTACAGGCACGCGCCACCATGCCCAGCTAATGTTTTGTATTTTTAGTAGAGACGGGGTTTCACCATGCTGACCAGGATGGTCTCGATCTCTTGACCTCGTGATCCACCTGCCTCGGCCTCCCAAAGTGCTGGGATTACAGGCTTGAGCCACCGCGCCCGGCCTTAATTTTTATATTTTTAGTAGAGATGGGGTTTCACCACGTTGGTCAGGCTGGTCTCAAACTCATGACCTCATTACCACCCATCTCGGCATCCCAAAGTGCTGGGATTACAGGTGTGAGTCACTGCACCTGTTCTCTCCCCACTCATCCTTTTTTTTTGAGACAAGTCTCTATCTCCCAGGCTGGAGTACAGTGGTGAGATCTCGGCTCACTACAACCTCTGCCTTCCAGGTTCAAGAAATTCTCCTGCCTCAGTCTCCCGAGTAGCTGAGATTACAGTTGCACACTACCACACCTGGCTACTTTTTGCATTTTTAGTAGACGGGGTTTCACCATGTTGGTCAGGCTGGTTTTGAACTCCTGACTTTGTGATCTGCCCGTCTTGGCCTCCCAAAGTGCTAGGATTACAGGTGTGAGCCACCACGCACAGCTGACCTCTTTTTCCTTTTTTCCCCCAGAAAAATACAGCCTTATGATATGTTAGGAAAAAGACTGGGAGAAAATTAAAAGATTGATGGTTTAATTTTCCTCTTTACTCTTTTTTTCATGTTTTAAAGAACATGTATTACATTTTTTTTGAGACAGGGTTTCACTCTATCGCCCAGGTCAGAGTGCAGCGGCACAATCATAGGTTACTGCCACCTCTACCTCCCGGGATCAAGGGATCCTCCCACCTCAGCCTCCAAAGCAGCTGGGACTACAGTCGTGCTACAATGCCCAGCTAATTTTTGTATTTTGTTTGTAGAGATGGACTCTCGCTATGTTGCCCAGGCTGGTCTCAAACTCCGGGACTTAAGCAATCCATCTACCTCAGCCTCCCAAAGTGCTGGGGTTACAGGTGTGAGCCACTGCATCCAGCCCCTACTTTCATAATCAGAGGGAAAACAAATCTGATGTCTTAAAATAAACACACTAAATACAAAGAGAACAACAAAATAAGTCTGTTTATGCTTTCAGAACTGAACCTTGGGATGCCCCAATCATGGCTAAACTGGCTAAGAATTTCAAGTTCTAACTCTCCAGCTCGTTCTCTCAGGCTTCATCTTGACTTGTCCCAGTCTGCCACAGATAATCTTTTGGAAGTGAAGGAAAGACATCGGAAGGGCAACTCCTGCCATTCCTCCGGGACAGAGGAGCCCCCACCCCGCCCCTGCCCCCGGTCCCAGGCTCTGCGTGCATCCTCTGGTCTCTGGATGGACAGTAAACAGCAGCACCACCTCCTCACCTCCCTCAGTGACCGTTTTAAACCAGTCCAGCAGCTTCTCTAAACAGGTGTCATCTGCCACCGGCTGCCTGGGGTCTACCAGAACAGCACAGAGCGCCGGGAGCAGCCGGGAGCATTCCAGGTCCATGGTGAGGCTGGGGTCCCTGCAAAGGCAATGTAAGAACCAAACCTCAATGCCCACTCCAGACCCTGCTCGCCCTAGTCACAGCAGCCCACCATGCCTGCTCAGGCCTGGGAAGAGGCCCCAGAGCTTTCCTCTCAGGCCAGGAGAACTATGATCGGCACACCAGAGGTCCGTACTGCAGGGATAGATGCAAAGATTTGGTCTGGGTGGGGCCCTGCGCGCTGGTGGCAGGGCTGGAAGGGGCAGCTAAGAGTCTGGCTGAAACCATAAGGCCTCTGGAGCTCAGTCTGCCACCCTTGGGCTTTGGTGCAGTCGGAGCAACGGCGTGGTGCTGGCCCAGGCTGCAGGTGGGACAGAGCCAGGGGCATCTTTGAATTCCAGGGTCACCCATGTGTGCAGGGGGAGTATCTATCCATGTCCCAGGGCTAGTCTGGGCTGGAAAGCGTCGGTCCCTCCCAGCGTCAGTGGCGGCTGCATTTGACGTCCTGAAGGCAGCAGGGGGGTGTGGAGGGGAAGGGGCGCCTATCCATGTGTCTGTCCCTCACAGGGTCAGTGGTGGCTGCATTTGGCGTTCTGCAGCCAGCGCGGGGTGCGGAAGGGAAGGGGCGCCTGTCCCTCCCTGGACCGAGGTGTACTTCGGTGCGTCAGGCCTGGAGGGTTGGTGGGGTGGTCAAGGGCTCTGTCTGGCCGGGGCATCGTCTGTCCATGCCCAGGGAGGCTGCGTCCCGGGAAGAGGAACCCTCCCCACAGTTCAGTCAGTTTTGGCCGCGAGCGCCAGGCCCGAGCGTCCAGAAAGGGACGCCACACCATGTGGCCTCAGTCGGGCTGGGAAGCGACTTCAGGTCGCGCACGCCTCGGGCTGGTCGGCTCCTTGGCTCACCTGCCCGCCCTCGCCCTCCGCCCGGCCTCGGCCCCCGTCCGCCCCACCACAGCGACCGCGACCCCACCGCCGACGCGCGCCTCACCGCTTGGTTCCTTCCTCCGCCGCAAGCCCCGCCCTTCACCCAAGGCTCCGCCCCCGGACAGTGCCACCTGCCAGGCCTGAAGGAGGCAGAGGATAGAGACAGCTGTCGTGGGGAACTAAGCGCCCCTGGAGGCCGCTCTGGAAGCCTCAAGGGCCAGACTTGAAGGAAGGAGGTCAAACTGAGAGGGGCTGGGGACAGGCAGGCTCCAAGCATGTCGCTCCGACCGATCACCCCCGCCAGGCGCCTGGTGGTACATGCCGAGCATCCGGTGGGTGGGCGGGACGTCCCGGGGGCGGGACTCTCTGAGGAAGGAGCGTGGCTGTGTCCGGAGGGGCGGGTCTCGTCTGCAAGGAGTGAGGAGACCACGCGCCGGCGAGAAGCGTCCGGATACGTGCACCAAAGCCGTTGATCCTTTGGCTTCAGGTTCCCGAAACTAGGTCCTCGGTGGCAGCGCTGTGGCTCCTGCCTGAGATCCCAGCCCTTTAGGAGGCCCAGTTGGGAGGATTGCTTGAAGCCAGGAGTTGAGAACAGCCTAGGCAACAAAGAGAGACCCCATCTCTTAAAATTAAAAAAAGAAAGAAAGAAAATCAGCCAGACGTGGTAGCACATGCCTGTGGTCCCATCTACTCTGGAGGCTGAGGCGGGAGGATCACTTGAGCCTAGAAGTTAAAGGCTGCAGTGAGCTATGATCCTGCCACGGCATTCCTGCCTGGGCAACATAGTGAGACCCTGTCTCAAAAAAAAAAAAAAAAAAAAAAAAAAAGGCAGGCAGAAAAACTGGGTCCAAAAAAAATTGGGATCGAAACACAACTGTGTGCTAGAGAGTCTCAAAGCCAGTGGATAGTGAAGGTTCGTGTTCCTAAAGCATTGTTTTACAGCAAGATGTTGGGGGCAAACACCAGAAGTATATTAGGAAACAAAGCAGAATTCCTATGGGTATTAAAATTAAAATGGGTTGGATACGTCTTTGTAGCAATGTGTAAGAAAAAAAAGTTGAAAAATTAAAATGGGACTTTAAAAACATTGATTTTTGCCAGGTCACCTTGTTTTGTTTATTTATGGAGACGGAGTTTCACTCTTTTTGCCCAGGCTGGAGTGCAATGGCGTGATCTCCAGTCACTGCAACCTCTGCCTTCTGGGTTCAAGCGATTCTCCTGCCTCAGCCTCCGAAGTAGCTGGGATTGCAGGCGCCCACCACCACACCCGATTAATTTTTGTATTTTTAGTAGAGACGAGGTTTCACCATGTTGGCCAGGCTGGTCTTGAACTCCTCACTTCAGCTGACATGCTTACCTCAGCCTCCCAAAGTGCCGGGATTACAGGCGTGAGCCACCTCACCCAGCCATGCTGGGTAACCTTGGACAAGCAACTTCCGTGACCCTTGCATGCCCCACCCCGCCACACACACACACATAACACCCTTAGAACTACATGGGTGAAAAGGTTTGAAATGCACGGTTACCTTCCCTGAAATTTGGTTCCTCATTGTAAAATGAGATACTAATATCCACCCGGTTAGGTAGTTGCGGAGAAAAGAAAATTCAGAATAGCACTGTGCTAAGTGTTTCACTTACTGTAAACTCATATGATTCTATACCAACTGTCATGTAGAATACTACCAGTCCATCAGATGAGGAAACTGAGGCACAGAGAGGCTAGCTCCTAAGGTCTTACAGCTAGTGGGTTGGCACAGCTTGGATTTGAATCCAAACAGTCTGGCTCCAGATTTGAATACTGTATTGTACAAATATACGATTTTTTGTTTGTTTGTTTTTGTTTTTGAGACACAGTCTCACTCTGTTGCCCAGGCTGGAGTGCAGTGGTACGATCTTTGCTCACTGCAACCTCCATCTCCCAAGTTCAAGCAATTCTCCTGTTTCAGCCTCCTGAGTGGCTGGGACTATAAGAACCCACCACCCCTGGCTAATTTTTGTATTTTTAGTAGAAACGGGGTTTCACCATGTTGGTCAGGCTGGTCTCGAACGCCTGACCTCGTGATCCTCCCGCCTCGGCCTCCCAAAGTGCTGGGATTACAGACATGAACCACCGCGCCCCGCCCCCACACTTTCTTATCTCAAACTTTTGGAAACAAATGTTTTTTCAGAATTCAGAACTGTTCAGATTTTAGAAATGTGACATGGCACATGTACACTGAATAGGAGATTACCATCCCAGCAGGGTGTGATGCAGCACCCCATAATTAAAGGTATTAATAGTTATTCAGTGAAACTCACTCATGTAAACCCCAAATGGGATAAATAAGCATTATAAATAGCCTTAGCTCAGAGTTTTCCTCCCGAAGAGTTGAGGTTAGGACAGGTCTCGCCTTCAAATAAGTTATGAAAGGCTTTCGAAAGTTTGTGGAATTCAGAATCACAGATAAAAGGTCGTAGATGGCTCCATAAATAAGAGAAGGGCAAGAAGTTTGGGACGCCCAAGGGTGCAGAGAAAGCGAAACGCCCTGGATGAGACCCTGAAAGCAAACGGAAGTTTCTATGTGTGTGTGTTTGACTGAGACAGGGTCTTGCTTTGTTCCCGAGGCTGGAGTGCAGTGGTGCGATCACGGCTTTCTGCAGCCTCGCCCTCCGGGGCTCAAACGATCCTCCCACCTCAGCGTCCCGAGGAACTGGGACTATAGGCGTGCACCACACTGCCTCGCTTTTGTTTTTATTTTATTTCATTTTTAGAGAGACGGGGTCTTGCTACATTGCCCAGGCTGGTCTCAAACTCCTGGGTTCAAATGGATCTCCCGCCTCAGGCAAAGTGCTAGAACTGCAAGCGTGAGCCACACCGCCCAGAGTTTTTTTCCCCTGCCAGCCTCGCGCTCAGCCCCGGGAACTCAGGGAGCGCTTCTGGTCGGCCGGCCGGCGCCCGCGAAATCTGCGCACGCGCATGGCTGCCCCGGGGCACGCCGGTCACACACCGAACCCCGCGGGTCGGCGGCGCGGTTGCCATGGCAGCGGGGTCGCGGGCTGGCGCGTGGGAAGCCCCCGAGGCTGCTGGCTGCCAGGGATGCCCGTGGAGCCCCAGACCCGGACGCCCGAGCCCACAGCGCTGAGGGGCGACTGGGCAGCGCCGCCACCATGTTCCTGAGCACCGGGGAGCCAGCCTCGGAGACGGTAAGGACGGATGGGCCTGCGTCCGCGAGGCCTGGGTTCGTCCCTGCCGCCCGCAGCCCCGGGGCCCCTCGTGGTGGACAGCCCGGGGCGTGAGGACAAGGCGCAAGGCCGGGTGACAGCTGCCATTGTTACCGCACAAGAGTGCTCTGCAGGCCCCGCGCAGCCGGCAGCATCGTCCGCCCTCGTAAAGGCCGCCGTTTCCAGGAAGCCCTCCGGGACTCCGCGCCCTCGCCGCTGGGCCCCTGCGAGTCTGCGGCCCGCGGATGATCTGAGTTCACGGTATAAGTGCCTCCGGGCATCCCCGAACCGAGGCCGGATCGACGGATCTGGCGTGGCCCCAGGCCGTTGGGGTAGGAGGGATGTAGCCCCAGGGTCTGGGAACCCAGTTAGGTCAAAGGAGGCTTCCTGGAGGAGTGTGATGCCCTATATTCTTCCCAGGGCTAGGGTGCACGGGTCCTCGGTTCGTTACTTTGTCTGGTAAATTCCTACTGCGTGTTAGAGACTCGGGAATCGGCTGCATTCCAATGGAGGGTAGAGGGACAAGGCAATAGACAGGTAATTAAGATGGTGTCAGAAAGTGAGAGGGGTTGTGCAGAAAATGAAAGAGGCCCATGTAGCCGGGAGCCGTGGCTCAGACCGGTAGTCCCCGCACTTTGGGAAGCCGAGGTGGAGGATCGCTGGAGGCCAGGAGTTCCAGATCACCCTGGGCAACGTAGCAAGACCCTATCACTACAGAAAAAAAAAAAAAAAAAAAAAAAAAAAAAAAAATCCATGAAATTAGCCTAGATGTGGTGGTGCCTGCCTGTAGTCCCAGCTACTCAGGAGGCTGAGGTGGGAGGATCGCTTGAGCCCAGGAGGTGGAGGCAGTGAACTGTGATCATATCACCGCCCTGCAGCCTGGGCGACAGAGTGAGGCACTGTCTCAAAAAAAAAGAAAGCCTTTTTGGATGTGGACAAGGGGAGTGAATGGAAGGTGGGCATGGGCTTGATTATGAGGGGGAGCCTTGCTGGCTATACAGGGAATTTGGATTTTATTGGAGATACAAAGGAAACCTTTGGAAGGTTTCACATGGAGGGAACTGTGCTCGCCTTGCCTTCTAACAAGACCACGGGGCTCAGCACAGCTGTACCCACGTCAGGGGGCTTGGTGCTGCTGGCCAATTTGGAGCAGCTGAAGTTGCCTGCCTGTTCCCCAGGGCACCACGTCCAGTCTCATCTGGAGGGCCTGCCTGCTTCTTCATCTTTAAGAACTGCTTATTGTGATTATAAAAATAATTTGCATGCATTATTATTATGATGTTTTGGATGCAGTCTCGCTCTGTCAACTCAGGCTGGAGTGCAGTGGTACCATCTCCGATCGCTGCAACTTCCACCTCCTGTGTTCAAGTGATTCTTGTGCCTCAGCCTCCCTTATAGCTGGGACTACAGGCATCAGCTACTACACCCAGCTAATTTTTGTATTTTTAGTAGAGATGGGGTTTCACCATGTTGGCCAGGATGGTCTCTAACTCCTGACCTCATGTAATCTGCCCGCCTTGGCCTCCCAAGGTGCTGTGATTACAGGAATGAGCCCCCTCACCCAGCCCTGTGTAGATCTTTAATTTCTTTCAATAATAGTTTATATTTTTCAATGTATAAAGCCTATGCTTTTGTTACATGTATTCTTAAGTATTCTTTTTGATGTTATTGTATATTGAATTTTCTTAATTTTCAGCTTATTTACTGCTAGTATCTACAATAATATTTTTATATGAATCTTATCTTGCAAACTTGCTAAACTCATTCTTTTTAATAGTTCTTTAGTAGATTCATTAGGATTTTCTAGGTATAAAATCTTGTCTGTGAAGAGAGAGAGTTTTACTTCTTCCTTTTCAGTCTGAATATCTTTTTATTTACTTTTCTTGCATTAAATTCCTGGCTAGAGACTCAGGTGTCATTTGAATTGAAGTGATGAGAAAGGACAGCCTGGTCTTCTTGCTGATATTAGAAGGGAAACATTCCATCTTCCTCCATTAAATATTGTGTTGCACTGGATTTTTTGTAGATGCCATTTATTAGGTTGAGGAAATTCTCTTATAGATTATGAAGTATCTTTATCATGAATGTTAGATTTTGTCAAATGTACCTTCGATATCTTTTGAGACAATCATGATTCTTGTTCTTCATTCTATTAATATGGTATATTATATTGACTGACTTTTGTATGTTAAATCAATCTTTTCATTCTTGGTCTTGGGGGATATGTGTGTGTACCTAAATATATACCATGACCAATTAGGATACACACACACACACACACACACACACAGTCGTTTTCATGCTTACTAGCATTGTTGAGGATTTTTACACCTGTTTTCATAAAGAGTGTTGGTCTGTAGTGTTCTTTTCTTGTGCTATTTCTTTGTCTGCTTTTGGTATCAGGGTAATATAGGTCTCATAGAATGAACCGCAAAGCCTTCCCTTTTCTGTTTTTTAGAAGAGTTTGTAAAGGATTGGTGTTAATTATCTTTAAATGTTTGATAGAATTCACCAGTTAGACCATGTGGTTCTGGGTTTTTCTTTATTTCTATAAGGTCAGTAGTGAGGCCCATCTCTCTCTCTTTTTTTTTCCTCTATTTTGGTAATTTCTTGTCTTTGGTTTTTTTTTTCTTGGCTAAAGGTTTGTCAGTTTTGTTGATCTTTTCGAAGAACCAACTTTTGGGTTCATTCCGTTTTCTGTTGTTTCTATTCCCTATTTCATTTATTCACTTTAATTTTTATTCCTTGCTTTTACTTCCTTTGAGTTTAGTTTTCTCTTTTCTAGTTCTGAAGGTGGAAAAATCTATTGACTTGCGATTTTTCTTCTTTTTTGTTTTTAGATTTTTATTTATTTATCTTGAGATGGAGTTTTTCTCTTGTTGCCCAGGCTGGAATGCAATGGTGTGATCTCGGCTTACTGCAACCTCCACCTCCTGGGTTCAAGCAATTCTCCTGCCTCAGCCTCCCGAGTAGCTGGGATTACAGGAATGCACCATGCCCAGCTAATTTTGTATTTTCCATAGAGATGGGGTTTCTCCATGTTGGTCAGGCTGGTTTTGAACTCCTGACCTCAAGTGTTTCACCTGCCTTGGCCTCCCAAAGTGCTGGGATTACAGCCGTGAGCCACCATGCCCGGCCTCTTCTTTTTTAATATAGGCATTTGTAGCTACAAATTGCTCTCTAAACACTTCTTTTGTATTTCTGATTGCTTGTTTTTGTTTTTAGAGACAGGACCTCACTCTCTTGTCTATGCTGGAGAGCAGTGGCACATTCACATCTCCCTGCTGCCTCAAACGCCTGAGCTTGAGCGATCCTCCTGCCTTGGCCTCCCAAGTAGCTGGGACTACAGGTGTGTGCCACCATACCTGGCGAATTTTTAAATTTTTTGTAAACACTGGGTCTCACTATGTCACCCAGGCTGGTCTCAAACTTCTGCATTCAAGCAGTCTCAAGCAGTCCTCCTTCCTTACCCTCCCTTGGTGCTCAGCCTGCTTTTGCTGCTTTTGTTTCTTTGGGGCTAGAGTATAGTGGCGTGATCATGGCTCACTTGCAGCCTCAACTTCCCAGGCCTAGGTGATTTGCCCACCTCACCCTCCTATGTGGTTGGGACCACAGACATGTGCCATGATGCTCAGCTAATTTTCTGTAGTGTGTGTGTGTGTGTGTGTGTGTGTGTGTGTGTGTGTGTGTGTTCGTGTGTTTGTATACAGGGTTTCATCATGTTGCCCAGGCTGGTTTTGAATTCCTGGTCTGGGAGTCCCAAAGAGCTAGGATTACAGGCATTAGCCACCACACTCGACCCTGCTTTTGTTTTTTAAAGTGAAAGATTAGGTTACTGATTTGATGTGATCTTTTAAAAATACAGACATTTACAGCTGTATGTTTCCCTTTGAGCCCCACTTTAGGTACATCCCATAAATTTTGGTTTTTAAAATTCACTCATCTAAGTTATTTTTAAATTTCCCTTGTAATTTCTTCTTGGATCCATTGATTGTTTAGGAATTTATTGTTTACTATCCAGGCCAGGCGCAGTGGCTCACACTTGTAGTCCTAGCACTTTGGGATGCTGAGGTAAGGCGGATCAGCTGAGGTAAGGAGTTCGAGACCAGCCTGGCCAACATAGTGAATGCAACTTCATTTCTACTAAAAATACAAAAATTAGCTGGGCATGGTGGCAGGTGCCAGTAATCCCAGCTACCCAGGAGGCTGAGGCAACCGAGTGAGACTCTGTCTCAAAAACAAACAAAATAATCCAAACATTCGTGAATTCATTTCTTTTGTTGATTACTGATTTCTATTGTTGTCAAAGAATATACTTTGATTTTTCTCTTTTAATTCATTGAGGCTTTTTTGTGGCCTATCTTCTGGTTTATGTTAATGTACGCTTGAGAAGGATGTGTATTCTGCTGTTGTTGGGTGGGGTGTTCTATAAATGTCTGTTAAGTTTTTAGTGCTTGCTGATCAAGTCTCTCTGACTCTTTGTTGATCTTCTGCCTTAGCTGCTCTGTCTGTTAGGAGCCTGGCCCTGCCAACACCTTGATTCTGGACTTACAGCCTCCTGAACGGAGACAGTTAATTTCAGTGTGAAGCCACCCCGTTTCCTCTCTTACAGCCACCCTGACACAGGCTGAATGAACTTAACCTAGTGTGGAAATAAGAGGCAGCCTCAGATAACGCTTGAAGGAGGTGGAACAAATTGGCCGTTGTGTACGTGCGTGCATGCGTGTGTGTGCCGTGTATGGTTGTATTCTGCTGACTGGAGGTGTGGATCCCGGAGCTGCTGTGGGATTTCAGGTCCTGACTGTGTTTCACTTCTTCCCTGCATCATGACAGGCAGGCTGGAGGCAGCACAGCTGGAAGGGAGCGATGACGGGAGAGGGCAGTGGTCATGGATGAGGTCGCTGAATTTTGTTCATTACACATAAAATTGCATTCCTTTGTTGAATTTTAGGTCATTCAAAAAGTCTTCAAGATTTTATTCACAGCAAGGAATAATGACAGATGTTTGCAAAGACGGTTGCTGCTGCTTTTCTGTACAGTTTTCAATAGGTTCCCATCTGTCCTCTACAGGGACATTCGTGTGATGCCCTGGGCAAACTGACTTGGCTTTTCTGATCCCCCGCAAAACTTCTGTCTATAATTGTCATATGCTGTTTATGCCTTAAAATGTCACCTATTTAATGATATAAAGCATGTCAGTCAGTTGCTGATTTTTTTTTAAGATTCCATTTATTTGCAATGCTCCCTCTTCCCTTTGCCTCTGAAAATGCAGTCCCACTGCACCTGTGACCGGGCCTCTCTGTGTTCAGGGGCACCAGATCGTTTCAGCTGCACCTTATCCTCGTTACCATGCAGCCATGTATTTCTAATACAGTTTCACACTGCCTGCAAAATTGGCGCTTCATGTACTGTTAACCTTGTAGAGAATATGTTTGCTTTTCAGAATTCAGCAGCATCCCATTATGATGCTACACAGACTCAGTGTACCAGCGACAGGCGGTAGCAATGCCATCACCTCCACCCCTGAGCTGTAGAGCTATTGGTTCATCATAGGGGCATTCGGTGCCAACTTCCAGTGCCAGTGTTAGAAGCAGCCGTACGATCTTCCCAGGGAGCTTAAACTCTTTATGCTTTTTGGATTTCAGTTTGAGAGAGTGAGTTAATACAGAAACATTTTTGTTTTCAAAAAGTTGTGTTTTTCCCTTGCCTTCCCAGTGCTGACATCAGACAGTGCAAGTTTTACTTCATTCCTTGGGCCAGGACAAAGTCACTGGAATAAGAAGGGAAGAAACATTATAGGCCCAAATGCCTTCTCATTATTATGCATATGTTTTGTTTTTTGTTGCTTTGGGGTTTTTTTTGTTGTTGTTGTTTTGTTTTTTTGAGCTGGGCTCTTGCTCTGTTGCCCAGACTGGAGTGCAGTGGTGTGATCGTAGCTCACTGCATCCTCGACCTCCTGGGCTCAATCCTTCCACCTCAGCCTCCCAAGTAGCTGGACTATAGGTGTGTACAATCACAGCCTGGCTTATTTTTTAAGTGTTAAAAATTTTTTTGTAGAGACAGCATCTCGCCGTGTTGCCCAGGCTGAGTATGCTTTTTAAAGATGACTCTGACCAGCTCTTACCAGGAGACAATTGTAGATTTGTTGTGCTTTGATATAAAGGTAAATAAGAATGAGACTATCTAAACAATGTGAAAATGAAATGCTTTCATCAATAACTGTTTTTTTTTTTTTTTTTTTTTTTTTTTTTTGAGACAGAGTTTCACTCTTGTTACCCAGGCTGGAGTGCAATGGCGCGATCTTGGCTCACTGCAACCTCCGCCTCCTGGGTTCAGGCAATTCTCCTGCCTCAGCCTCCTGAGTAGCTGGGATTACAGGCACGTGCCACCCTGCCCAGCTAATTTTTTGTATTTTTAGTAGAGACGGGGTTTCACCATGTTGACCAGGATGGTCTCGATCTCTCGACCTTGTGATCCACCCGCCTCGGCCTCCCAAAGTGCTAGGATTACAGGCTTGAGCCACCGCGCCCGGCCTGTTTTTTTTTTTTAATCAAGACACAATTCTGTGGGAAATAGTGTTACTAGGTTTGCAGGCATTTGCACGCCTCTGTTTTGTTGCCCCCTCCCACCCATTCCTTCTGATGAGATGGAAGGAACTGGCCACTGCCCAGCTGGAAGTGTTGCGAGTGAACTCAGAGCTGGATTTATGAAGTTTCTGTTTCAGCAGCTGTGAATGGGCTGTTTCGCTTTTGTAAATGTGACTGTTGGAAGCTCAGCAGGTACCTTCGAGTTACAGTGTTTGCATCTCTTCTTTCAGGGAGATGACAGTCTGTCTGCAGTCACCTTTGACTCTGACTTGGAGAAGGTGAGTGCTGCTGGGTGCCTCCCGGGGCGGGTTGCGCTGCCCTTGCCGGCATCACTCGGATGCGGATGCGTGAAATAGGCCGTCCTCCACAATCCTGTGTGATGAGCTGGAATGCAAATTCTGAATGCTACTTGGTGTTTGAAAAGTCTCCATCGCTTAGTTGGATTTAAATACCTGTGGTGATAACTTTATAACCTTTATCCAGACATGAACCCTGACCAGGGTTCACGTGAGGCTGATTGCTGGTCCCTGGCCTGCAGCTGATTTGGCCGATACCACCCTCCCCCATCCCGACACTTGAGGGGAGGAGAGGATCTCCTGCCGATGCCATCAGAAGGACCTGACGGGAGAAAGCAGACCAGGGCGGCTGCGATCCCAAGCTGAGCCTTGGCCCGGGCTCCCAGACCAGAAGGGAGAGGGGCCGGAGCACTGTCTGATGGCCGAGTGGCACACTGTGGCCCTGGACCTGGGCTTTGGGTTTGTTTGGCAAGCTGTGCTGGGTAGAAAAGGAAGCGTGCTAATTGCTCTTATCATGTGTCAGCAGAAGCAGCTTTTCTTACTGCAGGCACAAATCTAGCCACACCGCGGCCAGCAGCACGAACCCAGCACTGGCAGATCTCGGTTCTACATTTGCTCTGTGGACTCAAGGGGGAGTCTCACAGGTCCACTGTCTCCCTCCAAGGACCTCTGTCTGCAAAGTTAAGGATTTTCCCTCCATGTCACAGAGGGCAGGGGATGCTCCCCAGAGGAGGAGGGATCCAAAAACCCCTGGGGAAAATTCCCCCATGCAGAACCTGGGGCTCGCTCTTTCTGCTGGAGGGGAAGTGAGAGGCCCTGGCCGCAAGGTCTCTACCTGCTCAGTCTAGTGCGGGGTAAGAGAAAGCTAAAGTTGGAAGCATTGCAGCATCTTCCCCAGGCCATGGCAGGACAGGCTGAGTGTCCCTGATCCGAAATCCAAAATGCTCCAAAAATGGAAACTTTTTGAGCACCCTCATGAGGCCACAAGTGGAAAATTCCACACTTAAGTACTTAACACAAGCTTTGTTTCATTCATGAAGTTATTAAAAACACAATATAAAATTCCTTTTGGGCTATGTGTATAAGGTAGATATGAAACATAAATGAATATTCTGTTTAGACTTGGGTCCCATCCCCAAGATACCTCATTGTATGGATGCAAATATTCCAAAATGCGAGACACTCTTGGTCCCAAGGATTTTGGATACGGAACACTCACCCTGCAGGAAACAGTGGAACCAGCTCTGGACCCCGTTCTGTGTTTGGCATCGTGGTTGTCACAGAAGACCACCTTCCAGACAGGGTCTCCCTTCACTGGGCCTTTTTCCTTAGTGGGCTTTGCAGTTGACTTATCTGCAGGAATTTCCTCTCACCCCATCCACCCGAGTGGACAGGTGTGCCCTGGGGCTCCCGAGCCGCCTGAGCAGACGGTGTGGGTCGGGGCAGATACGCCATTAGTGTGGGATCCTCAGTCTGAATGTCAGGAGCCCAGGCCCGATTGTTTTCTGTGACTGGAACTTGTGCTCTGAGAGCCCAGCCCCCGAGCACTGCTGCGAGTGCGTTTTTCTGGGGTCTGCCTCAGGCCCTGTGTGTCCTGTGCCTTGACTCTCCTTACGTCCCTGTGAGCTCACGTCTTGTCTCTGCTCTTACACGCCCCCTGACCCTTTCTGAACACGGCAGGGTCTTGTGACTGGGGCCCCGGTGGGAGCTCAGCAAGCTCAGCAAGGCTTATACTGTTTCTCCTGTCTTTTAGAGAGCAAAAAGGAAAGCTTTCCACAAACCTCCACCCACATCGCCAAGTAAGTATGGCCGGGCCTGCCTTCCCTCTCACGCCCACACTCCCTGGTGTCCCGGGGAGAATGGAGGGTGTTTGCTTTGCACATTCAGGTAGCTGAGACCTGACACCTCAGCCAGTTGGCTCCATTCACGCTGGAGTCTCCCCCGTTGGTGCTGGGGTCTCCGGAACACCGTGCTCCTGGAGGCCCTGCCGGTGCCAGAGTAACCAGCGCTTCCTCCCACCACCACCCCCCAGTCTCCCCCCTCCACAGTGCCTCTAGGCCAGGCGTCCCCAAACTTTTTACACAGGGGGCCAGTTCACTGTCCCTCAGACCGTTGGAGGGCCGCCACATACTGTGCTTCTCTCACTGACCACCAGTGAAAGAGGTGCCCCTTCCCGAAGTGCGGCGGGGGGCCGGATAAATGGCCTCAGGGGGCCGCATTCCGCCGTAGTTTGGGGACGCCTGCTCTAGGCCTTTTGTTTTCTTTTTCTTGCTTTCTCAAAGTGCTTACCTCTTCTGAATGCTGCCAGAGAGAAAGGATTTTTGACCTGGGATTTGTTCCTGAGAGTCAAAGCTACTGAGAAGGTGTAGTTGGTCCAGGACGGGTGTAAACTTCACCTTTTTTTCCGCCTTTGGATCGCCCTGGGCTTATTTTGCTACCAGGGTTCTGTTCTTCCTCACCCTCCGTGGGAGGAGGGCAGCTTTGGTCACCCTGCCCTTCCTGGGCTACCCCAAAGTCTGTGGCCTTCCCTGGCCGTGTCATCTCTAGATGTGTGTCTATTTTATATATACTTATGTATTTCAAACATTGAGTCATGTATATGACACACTCAGAATATAAACGAACTTTCCTACTGGCCCAAGGAAAACGTAATTAGAAAGGTAAATTCCTGCAAAGAAAAGAATGCATGTTATATGTTACAAATCAATATCAACACTAGAAGGACATCATCTAGCAATTTGAATATTTGACGTCCTTTCTCTCCTTCCATGGAGAACATTGAGAATTGATACAATTTTTCATTTTCACCAGTGTTTGACTAGAATCACTCGCCCTTGTGGACATTTTGTTTTCTCATTTCTGCCTTTCTGAAGCTCATGTGTTGAGCATGTGTTGCTGTCCGGCACCTCTGAATCCACGCTTTGGCTTTTCTAGAGTCACCTTACCTCTCTAAGCCGAGGAAAGTGGCCTCCTGGAGGTCCCTCAGGACAACAGGGAGCATGCCTCTGAGCGGTCGAGCGTCCCTGACCCCGCAGAAGCTGTGGCCAGGAACTGCAAAACCAGGTATGTGGTTGCTGCACCGGAGGCCCTTCCTGCTTCAGAGAAGAGTTTGAGAAATGTCAGCGAGGAGTGGTTTGAGATGGAGTTTTTCATATTCCTTGAATTACATTGTCTTTAATGTTCTCAATGACATTGAATATACACATCGTAGTTTTACGTCATGCGCAAATGTGGTTTGGCCAAGTGATGCCTTAGCCTTCCCTGGTCTTGTGTGGCCTCTGCGTGGGAGTGGTGAGCAGGAGCCGGCTGCAACGGTCCTGCCAGAGCCAACCATTACAGTCTTAGGAGTTTTGTGGGCTGGCCAGTGTCATGCTGACACCCTGAAATTAGACATGGTAGAATTATTTATACTGTGGAAACGGGCAAATACTGTAGTCAGGACTTCATTAGTTTCTATTTAGGAGCTGGTTGTTAACCATTTACCAGCACACCACTGACAGCTGGTATCTACCAGCGATGAAGCTTTCTTTAAGCCAGGAAAGTTGATTAGAAACAAAACTTCCCACTGCATGTGCTGTACCTATCATATTAAACCCATGCACATTCAAACCAGGAAATCTGACCCCAGCCCTGAACTCGCACCTCACCTGGGAGCATGCGTGGACCAGCACCCCCGGCAGCACTTCTGACTATCTGACAGATGCCTTAAGAGTGAAGAGGCCACATCTCAGGTGCTCTGCCAGCCAGGGTGAGCATGCCAATGGTGGCGAGGCCGAGGCTAAGGCAGAGCAGAAAGGAAAGCAGTCTCTGGCCTGGAGGTGTCCTTCATCAGAGTGGGATTTCTGGCTTTGTATGTGAGCTCCGTCAGTGGGAGGTTTTGGGAGGTCAAGGTAACAGTGACTCACGAAAGCCCGTCTGCCCCAGAAGGTGGCTTTCCTCGTGGTGCAGGGATGTCTTGCCAGGTGTTATTTGTGCCTCCCTCCCTAAACATAGAGGCTTACTTAAATTTATTCATTGAATAAATGATAGTAGGAACAAATAATAATAAATAATGATAAAAAGTCCGAATTGCACTGAAGCGAGTCAGCTTGTTTCTGTGTTTATGTTCCTGTCTAGTCTCTCTCTCTCTCTTTTTTTTTTTTTTTTTAATAGAGACAGGGTCTTGCTATGTTGCCCAGGCTGGTCTCAAACTCCTGGACTCAAGTGATCCCCCACCTTGGCCTCCCAAAGTCCTGGGATTATAGGTGTGAGCCACCATGCCCGGCCTCTCTCTTTAGCCACATGTTTCCCACCTATCCTCCTTAAGGAAGAACAGCTTCCAGGGAGTACTGAAGACCTCCTCACTATACCCCATGAATTGATTACCTTCTTGCTTTTACTGGTTAGCAGTTATCTTTTAGGCTTACATTTAGATATTTAATATACTAGGTATCATTAAAACCAAAATAAGCCTGACTTTATGTTGGAATGGGTGTTGAGACACTATGTGCATTTTTTGTGTTTGGCATTTGTTTTGCTATTTAAATCTGAACATGTCCCTCCGCCTTCTGTGAGTCCCTTCTTTCATCCTTTTACTGTCTTTAAACTTGATCTTCACATCTTCATTTATTGACCTTTTGCTTTGTCTCTCTATAGAGAAAACCATTTTTGGTTTTCTTGCTTTTTGGGAAAGTATCATGATCAGGCTAACAAACATGGAATTATTTTTGCTTTTTTATTTTCTTCTTGTTTAAAAGGAAATGTTATTAACTTCCAGATTTTCCTTAAAGTATAACCAAGAATTCTTTCTACTTTTTAGATAGTCTTTTAAAAGATTTCTGTTTTTCTCTAGGTCATGTCCCTGGGACTCCTGTCTACAGGGAGAAAGAAGATATGTATGATGAGATTATTGAGTTAAAGAAGGTAGTGTTTTGGTTTGTTCTCTATTGATTTGAAACAGTGAAAGCCTCCTGTGACAATCGATGGGGATGTCAGTGCCTGTGCTGGGAGGTGCCCACGTGGGAAGCGCGGGAGCGTTAGGATCGAACCTGAGTCTGAGCCATGGCATTGTGCCCTAGGAGCTGGGTGTTCCTGGTTGAAGGCTGTAGCACCAGCACGTGAAAGGCAGCAGAGCTCAAGTTCTGCATGTGCTCTGCTTCTCCAGCATAATGGGGAGACTGAATGAGGACTAGATTTACGTCAGAGTCCCATTGCGTCCTGAGATTGGGTGCTGTGATAGGGTCACTGGTATAGTTATCAGTAACCTTCGATGCGTGTCATGCTTTCGTGTTATCAAGACAGCTCGCATGCCCTATCTCAGTTGCCCTCTACAGAAGCTCTATGGGATAGGCAGGGCCACCTGTCACAACCACCATCTGCTGATGAACTTGAGACTCAGAGACGTTAGTGGTCTGTGCAAGGTTAACCAATAGCAGAACCAAGATTCAACGTTACCTGCCTCCCAAGGCCAACACTCTGTATTACTCCATGGCCCCTCCCATTCATGAAAGCATGAACTGCATTGAGCTATACTGTAACTGTCATTGCCAGCAGCACCATTACCATCACTCTGGCTTTCAATATCTGTAAATGTCTGCCCCCAGAGAAATTATCTGCGTTCATTTCCTTCCACAATTTTGGTCTGTTTACAGACCTACTGTCTCTACCAGTTGATGTGTGTCCGAAGCACTGCGTTCAGTTGGGGCACCAGAGGGCAATAGGGCATTGGCAGTCTCACCCCAGAGCATGGGGTATCTGGAAGGGGGTCTGGAAGCCATTTCCCCTGGGGATCCGGGAAGAAACTGGGGAACCTGGTATAGGCCACTGTACAAAAGACAGCGCCTTCTCTGTTGGCCAGAGAGAACACTCAGGACTTGAGGCTATGTGAGGACACTCTAACTGCGAGAGCTGTCTGGCGGCAGCAGTGCTCCCTGAGGAAGTGTGCGCCCTGGCCTTCGAGATGTTGAGCAAGGTGGCAGCTACATGTCAGGAGTATTACAGAGGGGCCCCTCATTCCGGGCGGAAATCTGCACTGAATGAACTCAGGTGTGGATTGAGGGGATTATCTCGTTTGGGTTTTCTCAGCCTCTTGAATCTGTAGGTTTGTCTTTTGTCAAATCTGGGACATTTTCAGCCATCCAGTCTTGAGATGTTTTTTCAGCCTCGCCCTCTTCGGTGCCGGTTGCTCAGGTCCCTGGTCTCTGTTCAGTGTTTCCCCGTCTCCCCTTGTGAAGACTGGATAACTTCATGGTTCTGCTCTCGAGCTCACAGTTGCTTTCTGTTGGCCTCTGCATCCTGCAGTTGAGCCTGTTGCTGGGTGTAACCTGACCGTCCTTACTGTCTCTGTTCGTTTCTGAAATCTCTGTGCAGCACAGCACAGCCTAGGCGCTGTTTCTTTTCTGGATTTTATCTACCACCAAAGTCCAAAATAGTAGGAAGAACATAATTTCAAAGTACAGTGCTGGGATTACAGGCATGAGCCGCCACGCCCAGCCCCAACTACAGTCTTTTTTGTCCCCCTCAGGTCACCACAAATTGGTAAAGAATTTGTCCATAGGTAAAGATGGGGAAGCACTGCCTTCCACCTGAGCCGTAGTTGAGGATAAGCATTTGAAGTGCATATTAGCCTTGGATGAGTTTTGTTGATTAAAATACGACCACGGTGGACTTTCTCGTGTGGTCCTGGGAGAGAGCGTGTGGTGTGACCCGTCCAGCCCTGGGGTTGGTGCCATTTGTTTGCTGGTGCATTCTGTGGGACGGGGTTTCTCGGCACGGGTGCTGTTGGTATCTTGGATGGGAGAGTTCTTCTCTGAAGGCGGGTTTCCTGCCTATCCAGCCTCCCCTGTCCCCACCCACTAAATGCCAGGCGTGCCCTCTGGTGCCCTCATGTGACATCCAGATCTCCCCCCAGCCACCACACATAGCACCCTGAGTGGGAGCCAGGCAGCTTTCCAAGTCTCCCAGCTCAGTGTTTCCCTGGGCCTGTGCATGGTGGTGTTTGTGTGGCATGTGTGCATGGCTGTGTGCACGGTGGTGGTGTATGCATGGCTGTGTGTGTGGTGGCAGTGTGTGCATGGCTCTGCACATGGCTGTGTGCATGATAGTGTGTCCATGGCTGTGTGTGCAGCGGCGTGTGCATGTGTGTGCTTGGTGGCGGCGTGTGTATGGTTGTGTGCATAGATGTGTGCACAGTGGCAGCGTGTGCATGGCTGTATACACAGTGGCATGTGCATGGCTGTGTGCGTGGCGGCGTGTGCATGGGTGTGTGTGTGTCTGTATGCGTGGCTGTGTGCATGGTGGCATGTGTGTGATGTGTGCACAGCGGCATGTGCACGGCTGTTCATGGCCTTCTTTTCTTCAGACATTGCACGTGCAGAAAAGTGACGTGGACCTGATGAGAACGAAGCTCCGGCGCCTGGAAGAGGAAAACAGCAGGAAGGACCGGCAGATAGAGCAGCTTCTGGATCCCAGCCGAGTAAGCTCCTGGTGCTTCACGGGGGGCTGTTGCCTTGGGGCATCTGCCAGCCAGTCCTGCTGGGGGCCATACCAAAGGCCGTCTTCATGTCTCAATCTGCTTACCACAGGGCACAGATTTTGTTCGGACTCTGGCAGAGAAAAGGCCCGATGCCAGTTGGGTGAGTATGGTCTCCACAGGATGAAGCCTTTCCCCAGATGCTAGTTACCATGGACAGCCACAGTAGAGATGCCTTTCCCTGCAGCACCCACGGTGGAGAGTAGCAGGCAGGGGAGGAGGCTGCGGGCCCCCAAACCCTTCTCCACTGACGCCTGGGGACACCACGGGGTGGGGGCCAGGAGGCTTACCACAGAGGCCAAGCAAGACACTATAGGAAGGACCAGTCACAATGGGCGACTTCCTGCTTCACACCTAAGAAAATACATTAAGCTTAACAAGTGCTTCCAGCACCTTTCAAGGCCAAGGCAGGCAGATCACTTGAGGTCAGGAGTTCAAGAGCAGCCTGCCCAACATGGTAAAACCCCATCTCTACTGAAAATACAAAAAAAAAAAAAAAAAGCCAGGTGTGGCAGTGCACTCCTGCAATTCCAGTTACTTGGGAGGCTGAGGCAGGAGAATCGCTCGAACCTGGATGGTGGAGGTTGCAGTGAGCTGAGATCACGCCACTGCACTCTAGCCTAGACTACGAAAAAACCAGTGCGGCAGATGTAAAACAGGGAACCAGGGCAGGGATAAAGTCCTTCAGATAGATCCAGACCCCCTCGGATACTGTGTAACAATATGTAAAACGTTGAATGAAATTAAAGGAGGGAAGACAGAGCCATTATGTGGGTAATGGTGTGGAAAGATATATCACAATAAACTTCCTAGGAGTCAAGGAAGTACTTTTTTAAAGTGGGAAATGCTGGAAGAAAACTGGAAGGGATACAATTTTGAGTTTATTTAACACAAAATATAAAATAATAATGATGTGATTAATGGATTCAACAATATAAAATTAAAAGTTACATAATAAAAACTCATGGGACTAAGACAGCCACCAAATCACTATAATGGGGAAGGGGAAGAATATTATGGATCAATACAACAAAGTTTTCTGTTTATAATATAGAAAAAACTATAAATCTCTAAAGAAAAAAAACCATCTCCTCTGAACTATGTTGTAGATATAGAATATAGAAAGATTGTACAATTATTGCATATTTAAAGTAGATGGTTAAAGCCTGCTTCTGCACCTAGGATGGCACAAAGTAAATCCTTAACAAAGGGCTGTAGTAATGGATACTTTTATAAAGAAAGGGCTTCAATTTTTGTTGTTCTGGTGCTGTGTGTGTGTCTGTGTTTTTGGTTTTCTTGTTGTTGTTGTTTGTTTTTTGTTTTTTTGAGACAGGGACTTGCTCTGTTGCCCAGGCTCGAGTGCAATGGCAGGATTATGGCTCACTGCAGCATTCAGCTCAGGCGATCCCTGGCTCAGAGGATACTCTCACCTCAGCCTCCTGAGTAGCTGGGACTACAGGCGCACGCCACCACACCTAGCTAATTTTTTTTTTTAGTTTTGGTAGAGATGGGGGTCTCGTGAAGTTGGCCAGGCTCATGTGGTCCTTCTGCCTCGGCCTCCCAAAGTGTTGGGATTACAGGCCTGAGCCATCATACCTGGCCAGTTTTTTAAAAATTAAGGTTGATTTAAAGTAGGAAGTCTAGATCCTAGGATATATGCAGTATTCATTATAATATGGCAAATTGTCGTTGGAGTGGCTGTGCCCTGTGGTCTGCCATTTCTGCTTGTCATTACCTGCCTTGAAGAAACATTTGCAGATGTGCATGAGGAGGCCTGGCCAAGGATTTTGATTGGGGGATTGATCATAATCACAAAAATGGGCTACGACTTAACTATGTGTCAGTAGGCTATAGTGATAGATTTTAGAGCATCCCACAGATACTGTGGGATGCTCCTGCTGTGGGAAATAGTGTGGATTCATAGGTGCCAGCAGGGACAGAACACTAGGAGGGTGTGTTGAATGTTAATTTTAAAAAAATAATAAATTTTAAAAAAAGATGCAGAGGGATGTGCATGGCAGAGCCCCGTTTCTGTGAGAACAGATGGCCCGACTCCCCCGGCACACCCACACAGAACCAGGTGCTAAGGGGCATGCAAGCAGAAACAGGATTTGGTTGGCTAAAGAAGGGAGTGGCCAGTTCAGAGTATCTTAGCTTCTACAATGTCTTCAGTTTTGTTTGTTTGTTTGTTTGTTTGGTGTTTTTTTTTGTTTGTTTTTTCTTTTTTGAGACGGAGTTTCACTCTTGTTACCCAGGCCAGAGTGCAATGGCGCGATCTCGGCTCACTGCAACCTCCGCCTTCTAGGTTCAAGCGATTCTCCTGCCTCAGCCTCCCAAGTAGCTGGGATTACAGGTGCCCATCACCACACCTAGCTATAGTTTTTGTATTTTTAGTATAGACGGGGGCTTCACTATGTTGGCCAGCCTGGTCTCAAACTCCTGACCTCAGGTGATCCAACCACCTCGGTCTCCCAAAGTGCTGGGATTACAGGTGTGAGCTACCGCACCTGGCCCAACGTATTCATTTTTTTTAAAGAAAATGTATTCATATATGACTAAGGTAATTTATTTGTTTGTTTATTTTGAATTTCCCTCTGTTGCCCAGGCTAAAGTGTGGTGGTACGATCTTGGCTCACTACAACCTTCACCTTCCCGGTTCAAGTGATTCTCCTGCCTCAGCCTCCTGAGTAGCTAGGACTACAGGCACTTACCACCACACCCACTAATTTTCGTATTTTTAGTAGAGGCGGGGTTTTACCATGTTGGCCAGGCTGGTCTCCAACTCCTGACCTCAGGTCATCTGCCCGCCTCAGCCTCCCAAAGTGCTGGCATTACAGGCATGAGCCACTGAATGTTATTTAAAACTTTAAAATTCGGGCCGGGCGCGGTGGCTCAAGCCTGTAATCCCAGCACTTTGGGAGGCCGAGGTGGGTGGATCACAAGGTTGAGAGATCGAGACCAACCTGGTCAACATGGTGAAACCCCGTGTCTACTAAAAATACAAAAAATTAGCTGGGCATGGTGGCGCGTGCCTGTAATCCCAGCTACTCAGGAGGCTGAGGCAGGAGAATTGCCTGAACCCAGGAGGCGGAGGTTGCGGTGAGCCGAGATCGCGCCATTGCACTCCAGCCTGGGTAACAAGAGCGAAACTCCGTCTCAAAAAAAAAAAAAAAAAAAAAAACTTTAAAATTCAATTTTAAAGTTGCCTATTCAAACCTGGTGTTGCAGCTCACACCTATAATTCTAGTACTTGGGAGGCCAAGGCAGGCAGATTGCTTGAGCCAGGAGTAAAACACCAGCCTGGGCAACATAGTGAAACTCCATGTCTATTTAAAAGTTTATTCAGAAGGAAAGAATGTTCTTTAAGGAATATAGGATGTTTACCTCCCGCAAGCAAGACATTCACAGAGAAGGAGGTGGGGAGGCCGCGGGAACTGTTCTCCCTTACTCAGACGGTGGGTTGCACAGCTCCTTGGACCCCCCCACGGCCATGCTATCTTCCAGCCCCACTCACTGCCCCATGAAGACTAAACTGGGCAGCCCTAGGGGGTTGGGGCCAGCTGGTGATGGGGCTGCTTCCTTTATTTAACATGACCAAGGGCATACCCTGCTCTATCCCCCAAGTGTGTGGCGTGCTCGGGGAGGGCTGCCAGTTGGTCAGTGTGCCCACTGTAGCTGCCACCTCCTGCTCCAGTGGGCGTTGCACCCCTGCCACTCACCCAGCAAGAGGACAGCGCAGTGGGACCCTCCCTTTTTCCTGGGCCCGTAGTCTAGAAGAGAGGACAGCGCTGGAGGGAAGAAGGACAGTGAGGTGTGCACGTGCTCTGGGAGGAGGGGACAGCAGCTGGGGAGAGCAGGGGTAGCCCGCCTGATGGGTGCATTCCCCGGGCAGGTCATTAATGGGCTGAAGCAGAGGATCCTGAAGCTGGAGCAGCAGTGCAAGGAGAAGGATGGCACTATCAGGTAGGCGCAGGGCCGCAGGCCGCGGTCTGGGATTGGGGCTGCACCCCTTCCCCTGCCTCCCGACCCCCTGCTCTGCTTGCTTGCTCGGACTCCAGCCTTTGTTCCACCCCCACCCGTCCTGTGTCCCTACTCCCACCCCAAAGCCGAAGGTGAAGGTTAGCTGCCTCTTTTTCATTTTTTTCTTTTTTTTATGATCTATGTTCCTTCCAAATATTTCCCTTTAACTTCTTGTTGTGTTTAAGAAATGCTTTCTCCCCTGCTTGTTATGTGGACCTCTGTATCTTTCCAGGATGAAGGTTTTACGCCCTGGTCCCACACCATCCTTGTGCTGCTTTTGGTGGGCTACTTGCATTTCCTTACCTGCCTTTCAAGTGCGAAGGGGGAGTCTTCCTAGTCTGTGTTTCGATTTCTTTAAGGGAAACAGAGGCCATGTGTCCATTGCCTCCTGTCCCTCATGTCTGCTGGTCTTAGATAGTTCCCCCCTCGTTTCCTGCTGAATGTTGTTAACTTCAGTTTGCTGAGTTCTTCTGCTTCAGTGCAGAACCTGCATGACTTTGCTTTCGATTCTCTCTCAGTGTCTCTGTCTAAAGTCTACAGTCTGCTGAGAGCGAGGGGACAGCCCCGACAGTGCCGGGAAAAGGCGATTCTCTCTTCCTTAGGAAACTAACCACTCAAAGATGGCTTGTCCTCTCTAAGCTCCGAGGTCTTTCCTCACCATTAATCTAGTCTTTTAAAGACAACGTCTTACCTGGAGGAGAATATCTCTAGGGAAGCTGTTTACTCACCTTGGAAAGCGGCTAGTCTATACAGGGTGCTCTCTGGTGTGAGGAATTTTCCCATCAGGCTCAAAACGAGTCACTTGTTGAAGGCACAAGCCAAGTGAAGGCCCATTCAGGCTTTTCCCTCCCATCCCGGCTCTCTTCCAAAGCCTCTCCTCCTCTGAATGTTCTGGGAACCGCTTCCTCTTGCTCTGTCCCCTGGGAACACACGCATGGCCCTGTTAACACTGAACTTGGGTTTTCAGCAAACTCCAGACCGATATGAAGACAACCAACTTGGAAGAGATGCGAATCACCATGGAGACGTACTATGAGGAGGTACACTGTGCTGGGTGGTGGGGCGGAAGGCGGGCACTGAGCAGGAGGGGACCAGGCCTGGCCCGGGTGGCAGGCCAAACCTGGGTGGCCCAGGGCTGGGTTCTCGGAGTCTGCTCCTGCTTCAGCCCGACCAAAAGGTGAAGTGCAGCCACTTCATTCCCGCTTCCGGCCATAGGCAGCGGTCAGGACTGTGATGATGGTCTTTTCAGAGGAAGGTCTTGTCTGTGCTGGCCTTGTGTTTTTAATGCATTTCAATTTGGTATTTACAGATACATCGTCTCCAGACTCTCTTGGCAAGTTCTGAAACCACTGGAAAGAAGTACGATGACCGTTTGGGAGCCGTGTTTTGTGTGTTGCTGTCACATTGTGGAAGCTCCTTTGAGAGCGGTGTGGCTGTCACGTGGGAGCAGCATATACTGCCCTTAGCTTGGCAGCAGTGCCAACACCGCCCCTGTTCTGTTCAGGGTTAGAGTCGATAACCTTTCCATTTGCGGTGTTCACAGATGCTCCTCATAGTGACCACGTGTTGACAGCTGATGCGTGTTCAATGCTGCGTGTGTTCATTATAGATTTTATATACTGCCTTCCAGCTTAGAGCTAGGAAGTGCTGTTTCAAAGCAGATCCACCTTTTTAGGAAGATGTTTCATACAAGGACAAGTTGACTTTGCCACCTCAGGTTTTTCTCCCATATCGCTTTCCCAAAGGATGCAACCCCGGGCTTCCATCCGGTTCTGGGTGGCTGATCCTTTACTGTGGCTTTGGCCATGTCACTGGTCTCTGCAGCAGCTTGCTGACGTCATGCACTGCTTTCTGTTTCTTTACCCCAATCCTTAAAACTGGTTGGAAAATTTGTACTGTAAAGGGCCAGATACTAACTACAGTCTATTCTCATTATCACGGTTAAAAAGTCCCTGTAGGATTCCATAGTATAGTAGTTATCCCATCTGCCTTACAGAGGGTCTCATGAACACAGAATGAGTAAATACTAAACCACTGCTCTTAGAGAGGTACGGGGCTCCTGGGAGCTTCTGGTCACAGCATTTTTTAAATTTTATTTTTTGGAGAGAATCTCACTCTGTTGCCCAGGCTAGAGTGCAGTGGCATGATCTTAGCTCACTGTAACCTCCACCTTCTGGGTTTAAGTGATTCTCCTGCTTCAGCCTCCTGAGTAGTTGGAACTACAGGCACGTGCCACCATGCCCGGATAATTTTTGTATTTTTAGTAGAGAGGGGGTTTCTCCATGTTGGCCAGGCTGGTCTCAAACTCCTGACCTCAGGTTATCCACCCGCCTCAGCCTCCCAAAGTGCTGGGATTACGGGTATGAGCCACTGTGCTCAGCCTGGTCGCAACATTTTTATCAGCCAGTCAATGTATAACCTGGTGAATGTGTGTTTCTGTTTAAAGACAGCCTGTTTAATGGCGATTGTGGATTCTCATCAAACTCACTGCCTGGCCTGAACGAGGCTTCCCGCGCACACGTAAACGTCTCCATAGCCTTCCTGAGCTTAGAGGCACTGGATGGCTCTCAGCACTGCAGTCCAGGCCGGGCCACACAAGGCAGCACTGTCACCAGCAAACGGCAAAGAGATGTGAGAGTAGGCTGCAGCACGCTTGTTTTTGCATGAGCTGAGGCAAGGAGGCTGAGCGCCACCTGGTTCAGCCCTAGCTGGGAACATTCGTGCCAGCAACTGGCATTTTTCATCACCTGTGCACGTGCAAGAATTCCCACAAAACCCCCATGAGTACTGATTTTGGGCTGATGGATTCATTTTAGCAGCAAGCATATTTACAAATATGGGATCTGCAGATAATGAGGATCGACTGTGCTTTAGACCTCGTGGGCTGAGAGGCAGAATGCAAGCTGTTCTGCAGGCACCTGGTATAACAGGATACATTTGCACAACCCTTCTAGTGATGGCATGGAAAATAGAATATTGATACTTGAATACGATGTTTTGTTACACAGGTTTACCTTGCATAAGAATGGGGTTCTATTTTGGGTGCTAATGTTTTGCTTACTTGGCGTTCAGAGTTATCTCCTGTTTGGTTTCAAATACTCACCTTCAAAAACCACTCTGAGCTCATGACCAACAGAGCAAGCTGTGATTCACCTGCCCCTCATTTCAAGCATGTATGAAACCAGCTTAGCAATGCAAACCTCAGCCCACGATTTGGTTATTCCAGGCCCCTGGGGGAGAAGAAGACGGGCGCCAAAAGGCAAAAAAAGGTGGGCAATACCCTCCTGAGCTTGTCCCGGAGCGTCCAGGAGCTCACGGAGGAGAACCAGAGCCTGAAGGAGGACCTGGACCGAGTGCTGAGCACCTCCCCCAGCATCTCCAGGACGCAGGGTACCTTCCCAAAAGCTACTCCAGGAGGGAGGCCAGGGAAGGGTGGGGCGCGGCCATGGGGTAGGCCCTACCCAGTGTAGGCACCACGAGGGCAGATGTGAACCATTGGGCGATGCCAATTCTGTGTGCCAGCACCTGCCTCAGGCCCCGTGGTGTCCTGCCCTGGGAATGGAGCTGAGAACAGAAGCTCGCAGACATCCCTCGAGAAGACAATTCCCTGGGAGGGAGGGAGGAGCTGGGTCAGATGGTGTCACATGCCTGTCAGATGGCCGTAAGTGCCATGGAGAGCAATGGAGGAGGGGAGGAGGACACATTTTGGGGTGAGGCAGGTGGTGCATGCAGCTGCAAGCAGGGCTGACAGGAAGGCGCCCCCGAGACAGTGACAGCTGAGTGGGACCCAGAGGAGCGAGGCAGCCGTGAAGATGGCAGCAGGGGTAGGATGGGTGGGGCAGGGCTGAGTGCCTGGGAGACACATGGAGTGTGGCCCCTGAGGCCCGGTGGGGTGGGGCAGGGTGCCGTGGGAGCTTTAGGGGTGCCACGAAAGCATTAGAAGGTAGAGGGGGCCGTGCTGCTGTCCGAAGCCCCCTGGCTTCTGTGCAGAGACAGCGATGGTGGCAGGCAGAGCCTTCTGTACCTGTCTAGTGGGGCTGCTGGTGGCCCAGATGAGGGGAGCCATGGATGTGGTGAAAGGTGGTCAGGGTCTGGATGTATCTTGAAGCCAGAGCTTAAGGAAACTGCGGAAAGGGTGTAGGATCTGAGAGGGAGGAGCCAGGCTCCAAGGCGTTTTGTCCCAGCATCTGAGAGGACAGAGTTGCTATTTCCTGAGATTGGGAAGGCAGAGGGGCAGGTTTGGGGGAAGGGCCACGAGAAGTCTGAGTGCATGAGAGTGCAGACCAGGCAGTGGCTGTTTGCGGGTGCGGGGTGGAGGCCTGGGCTGGAGAGCTGAGCCTGCAGGTCACCAGCACTTAGGTGGAACAAGTGAGGTCACTGGAGTAAGAGGAGCAGGGGTCAGGCACTGAACCTGGTGGTGTATGGGGGGTGAGGGGCAGCCAGCGAGGTAGAGGGAAGGAGCAGCCAGCGAGGAGCTGTGCACACCAGGAAGCAAGTGCAGGCCAGGGACAGGCCGAGAACCGCCAGTTAGTTTGGCAGAGTGACAGTCATCAGAGATCTTGATGAGAACCATCTTAATGGCTTGGCGAGGTGGAATTGGGAAAGAATATTACCCCAAGATGCTTGGAGGCCGTTAGTACAGACAACTCTTCACGGTCCAAGAGGACAGAAACTGGATCAGTGCTGTTGAAACCCTCGGGTGGCCAGGACCTGTTGGTGTGGCTCTGGGGCCCCTCAGGCTGCTCGAGCTGTGGAAGAAGAGCCTCAGGCTGTACCTGAGAAGGGTGGCCCTACCGGCAGTGCCCACCAGGACAGCCGTTTTGAAACCGCATTGCTTCCATCAGGTTACGTGGAGTGGAGCAAGCCCCGGCTGCTGAGGCGCATTGTGGAGTTGGAGAAGGTGAGCAGGCATCTCAGTGCCACTGTTGTTGACGACCACGGGCCTTGTGCTGTGGGGACAGCTCACAGGGTGGGGAAGGTGGCGCTGAGCATGGCAGTGGCTGTCTGCCAGGCAGCGCCACACACTGACCGAAAGGAGGCTTCACTCCGGTCTAGACAAGGCTGAAGGTAGCTCTCACACCTGTCACTGGGCTGTGAGCTTCTGGGTATGGCTGCAGGCAGATGCTTTGCACCGGAGCCCCTCACAGTCCAGTCTGCCCATGCAGGCTGTGGGCTGTGCGCTGCCCACTGCCCGCCAACAACCAGGCACTGCTTCCCACCACTCAAGTCATGTTGGAATCCACAGAAAACTTTTCACTTACACCTGGCCAATTAGAAATTCTGGAAAATAAATAATTCCCCATATCCCCTACATGACTTTGCAAAGTAGGAGTCAGGCTGCTTCTGCTGAAATTGGACCTTTGTTTTCTTTTTTTTCTTTTCTTTTTTTTTTTTTTTTTTTTTTTTTTTAGATGGCGTCTTGCTCTGTCACCCAGTCTGGTGTGCAGTGGTACAATCTCAGCTCACTACAACCTCCGCAATGGCACATACCTGTAATCCCAGTACTTGAGGAGGCTGAGCTGGGAGGATCACCTGAGCCCAGGAGTTTGAAGCCAGCCTGGGCAACATAGCAAGACCTCATCTCTCTCTTTTTTTTTTTTTTATTATTTGTTTGGCTTTTTGTTTGTTTGTTTTTGCAAGACCCCATCTCTACAAAACTAAAAACAATTAGCTGGGCATGGTGGTGCACACCTGTAGCCCCAGCTACTTGGGAAGCTGAGGCAGGAGGAACACTTGAGCCCAGGAGTTCAAGGCTGCAGTGAGCTGTGATTGCCCTTCAGCCTAGGTGACAGTGCTAGACCCTATCTCTTAAAAAAAAAAAAAAAAAAAAAAAAAAAAAAAAAAAAAAAAAAAACTGTTTCTATAAATTGTGAGTATTTAAAATATAAAACTTGTTGGGAAGTCTAAGCACCTGGAGGCACAGTGGACAGCACATCCGAGCTCTGAGAGGCTGGAATGGAGGGCAGGGACAGGCTCAGGAGCACTTTGCTGGCAACACCAGAATGTTTCTTGAGATGGAGAGCGTGAAGGTTGAAAATGTCGGCAGTTCTAGAGGGACAGGAGGGTAGATGATCACAAAGTTGTTTGACTTCTCTCCCCTTGTGCCTTCTTCTCTTTTACTGGCTTCTGCCCGTGCCTTGCCTTGGCAGGGGTCTGCAGGTACCCTGCTTCTGATTAAAGAGAGCCGAGCAGGGAGCGTGCTCTTCCAGCAGCCCCATGCCCTTTGGCGTCTCCAGCTAATTCGGGTCCCCTCAAAGCTTTCTCGTGGCCCTGCTGGAGATTCAGTTCACCCTGGTTCAGTGTCTAATTTCTGGGTTTGATAAATAGAAAGTAGAAATGAGAACTAGTATCTAACACATGCCTGTGTTGCCTCCAGAAACTAAGTGTGATGGAGAGCTCAGAATCACACGCCGCAGAGCCAGTCAGATCACACCTTGCCAGCCCGCCCTGCATCCAGCTCTGCACTGCACAGACAGCCACGAGAGGACCGCCACGAGGACCACGAGCGTCTCCGAGGGGCTGTGAGAGACCTGAAGGAAGAGCGGACCGCCCTGCAGGAGCAGCTGCTGCAGAGAGAGTAAGTCCTCCCGAGGCCCTGCCAGCTGCCCCACAAATGCAGCTGCTGCAGAGAGAGGGGGTCCTCCTGAGGCCCCACCAGCAGCCTCATCAGGGAAGCAGCTCTCACTCCCTATGGAAACTGATTGTTGCCATGTTAAGCAGTTGTGAATTTGGGAAACTATTCAGCTCGTAATAGTCGCTGCATAAATATTTTTATGTGAGGCCAGGCGCGGTGGCTCAAGCCTGTAATCCCAGCACTTTGGGAGGCCGAGGCGGGTGGATCATGAGGTCAAGAGATCGAGACCATCCTGGACAACATGGTGAAACCCCATCTCTACTAAAAATACTAAAAATTAGCTGGGCATGGTGGCACGTGCCTGTAATCCCAGCTACTCAGGAGGCTAAGGCAGGAGAATTGCTTGAACCCAGGAGGCGGAGGTTGCGGTGAGCCGAGATCGCGCCATTGCACTCCAGCCTGGGCAACAAGAGTGAAACTCCGTCTCAAAAAAAAAAAAAAAATTTTTATATGATTCTAAAACTTCTTACATTTTGGTTGTGACATAAAGGCAGCTTTAGTGATTTAAAAAAAGGCACTAACTGACCATATTACATCATTAAAAGCATGAGGGGCCAGGCATGCCTATAATCCCAGCACTTTGGGAGGCCAGAGTGGGAAGATTGCTTGAGGCCAGGAATTTCAGACCAGCCTGAGCAACATAGCAAGACTCCATCTCTACAAAAAATTTAAAAAATTAACTGGGCGTGGTGGCTCATGCCTTCCAGTTACTTAGGAAGCCAAGGTAGGAGGATCCCTTGAACCCAGGAGTTCAAGGCTGCAGTGAGCCATGATCGTGTCACTGCACTCTAGCTTAGGCAACTGAGTGAGACCTCAACTCAAAAAAATAGTGTAGCGAACAATGGGAGAGCACATTTAAATCTCTCCACCCTGAATTCCAGAGGGATCTTCAAATTGTCTATTAGAGAGGAATTTACTTTCAGTGATTTCTATAAAAGTAATTAGATTTTATGCAGCATGGTCTTAATTCAGTAATATGTTTAATGGCATGTGATAAATTAATACATATCAAATAAAGCATAAACGCTCCAGGCTGGAGTGCAGTGGCACAATCTCAGCTCACTGCAAACTCCGTCTCCCGAGTTCAAGCGATTCTTCTGCCTCAGCCTCCTGAGTAGCTGGGATTATAGGCATGGACCACCACACCTGGCTAATTTTTGTATTTTTGTTGAGATGGGGTTTTGCCGTGTTGGCCAGGCTGAGTCTCAAACTCCTGATCTCAAGTGATCTGCCCACCTTGGCCTCCCAAAGTGCTGGGATTACAGGCGTGAGCTACCGTGGCCGGCCCTACAGGGGATTTGTGTGCACCTCAGGGTCTGAGGAGAACTCGGCCAGTGCCTCCCAGCCTGTTAAGTTCTCTGCTGCTGCCTGCTGTGAACAGCAGAAGGCCAACCTGTCACTACTGTCCTTTCCCCCCATGTGAGGTCTCAGAGCACATTTACACCAATTGATTATGCCTTTGTAAAAATTAGTATTTCACGACAAGCTTTTCCAGTTAAGCTCGTCATTACAGAGTTCATAGACATCAAATAAAATAAAAAAAACTTTAAGGTAGTCATTGTGAAAGGTAAATAACTTCTGGAATTATCTATGAAGCTGTCAAGTGACATGACAAGAGCCGTGGTCTAGGCAGGGCCGGCCTTGCCCCATTCACAGACCAGGCGCCTGCCTGCAGCTCCCTCGGCGCGAGGTCCATGCGGAAACGTGGTGGCTGGAGGGGCAACTCCCCGTTACATGGCTTAGTCCTATTGATCCCCTCACACAGCAGGTGCTGGGTTCAGGGGAGGCAGGGCCCTGAGGTTGGTCCTTGGTGCTATATGATTAGAAATGGCCCTTTCGGGCTCCTCCTGCCTCACCACCTGCTGTCCTAAGGAATCGTTGAGCGCTGTCACTTTTCTGAAGCGCCCTCGTGCTCTGTCACAACCTCTGTTTTTTTGTGAACGCTGACAAACATCCCATTCTGTGTGTGCAGTTTGGAAGTGAAACAGCTCCTGCAGACGAAGGCCGACCTGGAGAAGGAGCTGGAGTGTGCCAGGGAGGGCGAGGAGGAGAGGAGAGAGCGAGAGGAGGCTTTGAGGTACGTGACCCGGGTCAGAGCTGGAGAGAGGACCCAGGCAAATCCGCGCTCCGGCCGCCACCACGGCCTTCCGCGGCATCTCAGCCTCACTGCCAGCCAGCTTTTTAGAAAGGCCACACCTGCCTGCAGTCTTTCCATGGTTTTCTGTCACCCCAGCTCAGGAAAAACCTCTTGGTGCTGAACAAGGCCTGCCCTCCGGCATCGTGGCCACCCCGCAGGGGCGTCCTCTGCTCTGGCCACTGCCTGCCCCTTCCCAACCAGCCGTCTCACTGGCCTCTGGTCACAGCAACCCGGGGGTGGGCCGCATTCTCTAGAGAGGCCGCCCTCGGCTTCAAAGTAACGCCATTCTCGAGAGCCAGGACGTAGTGCCCACCCCCAGGCCCATCAGCTGCTGGTGGAGAAACACCCTGAGGTCGACCATGTGGAGGCGCAGAGCGGGCGGACACTCCAGCAGGCCTGGCCTGGGGATCCTCAAAAACATGGTGCTCAGCAAAGGAAGCCAGACACAAAACGTCGAGTAGCACACGATTCCACGTGCAGGAAACGTCCAGGACGGGCAACCCATGTGACAAGTGCTGCTGCTAGGGGCCGGGGAGGGTAGTGGGGACTGCTGACGAGCATGGGTTCCTTTCTGGGGTGATGCAAATGTTCCAGAATTAGATAGTGGTGGTAGGTGCACAACATTGTGAATATGTGAAAATTCACTGAATTATACACGGTAAAATAGGGAATTTTATGTGATGAGTCTTTTTAAAATGCACAAAAAACTAGGTTAGAAATCTGAGCAGACATATTTAGCACTTGGAATAATTAGTAAGACATAGATTACAGGAATGAAGAAAACATTGGTCAGGCACAGTGACTCACACCTGTAATCTCAGCCCTTTGGGAGGCTGAGATGGGTAGATCATGAGATCAGGAGTTCAAGACCAGTGCGGTTGAGTTGGTGAAATTAAAAACTATATAAATCAGCCAGGTGCGATGGCAGGTGCCTGTAGTCTCAGCTACGCAGGAGGCTGAGGCGGGAGAATCGTTTTGGACCTGAGAAGTGGAGGTTGCAGTGAGCCGAGATCGTGCCATTGCACTCCAACCTGGGCAACAAGAAACTCCATCTCAAAAAAACAAAACAAAAATTTCATTTTCAGGATAAATCTGACTGAATTTTATCAGAGGCTAGAATTCAAGTAAATCCGAAAGGGCACATGTACAGAAATGAATTATTATTATTATTTTTTGTCTTTAGTACCTGGAATGAAGATATAAATTGCAATGCTTTCCGTTCATACTGTTTACTAAAAGCCCAGCAATTCCTGCTTATTTATCTCAAATGCGTGGGCTCAAGCCATTCTCTGGTCTTGGCTTCCTAGAAGGCTGGGATTAAAGGGGTGAGCCCCAGCGCCCAGCCTCCTACTTACTTATTATTCATACAATAGATTCTTTTTTTTAGGTTTTAGGTGTTTCAGGAGAGATGCTGGGCCCTGGGGGTCCTCAGCCCTGGCCTCATGGGGCTTCCAGCCTAGAGCAGGAGACAGCAGGAAGCCCCGCCCTGCCCTGGGGTTTCTGGTAGTCAGATCATAGCTGGAGCTCAGTGGCTTAGGCAGATGTGGCCCTGCCAGCTCTCTACTGGCTGTCTGGCGTCCCCCTGTCTCAGCGTGGACTACCCGCCCCACCCTGCATTGGCGTTTCTGGTATAGTCAGGTCATAGCTGGTGCCCAGTGGCTCAGAGATGTAACCCCGCCAGCTCTCTACGGGCTGTCTGGTGTCCCCTTGTCTCAGCATGGATGAACCCCGCCTTGTGCTGGCCTTCATCACATAGTGACAGGTGAGGTGTCATCTTTTCCCTTTTCACCTTAGGGAGGAGATTCAGACACTTACCAGCAAGCTCCAAGAACTGCAAAAAAAGAAAGAAGAGCAGGAGGCTTGCCAGGAAGTTCCTCGTAAGGTACAGCGACTGTTGGGTTTCATCTCCATCAGGCGTGGCCAGACTTTTGCTGGTTGTGATGGTTCCGACCATTGCCCTGCCCAGAGTTTTTTCTGACCATACACTGAAAATCCCACTCCCTTTTATCATCACAATTGATTCCTATAATTCATGTTGTATGTATCGAAGTCCTGAGTTTTGGATTAATTGACTCTTAGCAAATTGACTTCTCAAACTAATATGAGTCTTAAGGCTGGTGAGTAGAGTGTCCCAAAAGCTCGGCCATTCAGAGGGTATAGTTATGTGGCTGGAGCTGTCACCAAGAGGCAGGAGGGGCTTGGGAAGGCTGCGGGGGAAAAGGACGAGGGCTCAGCCAGGCTCCTGTCTGGACCTGGGCGTGCGTCCTCTCCTCTCATTTAAGTTCCAGAACACGAGGCTGGCAAGACCTCAGCAGGCACTGCCCTCTGGCCTCCTGTGCCCTTCCTGCCATCAGTCAGCTGTGCACTGGCTGAATGCAGAGTGACTGTTAGCCTAGGCAGATGCCCTCCCTGCCCCTCCACTCCCTTAGCGTGCCTGTGGCTCCCCATTGCCTCCCTGGAGGGGTGACAGCCACACTCTGGTCGCCATCGGCTGCTGCTGCCTGCGCTTGCACTTCTGGTGGCAGAAGGCCTCCTCACAAATCCCTTTCCAATGGGTAGGATCCTTCAGAGGGCAGGCATGAGCAGGGAACCTGGTGTGACCATCTGAGGCTGCACTTTGCTCCAAGAGGAGCGATAAAACCAGTGAGAAGCCACCGCCTGTGGTCCCAGCTGCTCGGGATGCAGCAGGGGAGGATTGCTCGAGTTTCGGAGGTCGAGGCTTCAGTGAGCCAAGATCGCACCACTACACTCCAGCCTGGGCCACAGAGCCGGACCCTGTCTCACTAAAAGAAAGAAAGAAAGAGAAAGAAAAATGTCTGAAAAGAAAGAAAGAAAAGACACATGTCTGAAAATACTGCCAAAATATAGCCTCTTCTGTGTGGTGGGGTAATATAGCCTCTTCTGTGTGGTGGGGTTATAAGTGTTTTTTTGTTTTTTGTTTTTTTTTTTCATTTTATTTTAGTATTGTCTGAATTTTTTGTAATAAGCATGTATTAGCTTTGTGTTTTTTCCTTCTCAGGAAACATTTCTATTTTAGAGAAAAGGAAGAGTGGGATTAATTGAGTGTTCAGCGCTCCAAATAGGGGAATCAGCTCACAGCAGTCACATGGGAAGGATTAATTGTAGGTTAAATGGAGTGACAAGAGTCAGTTTAAGAGTTGCTTCGAGGAATGGATAAGCATGTGAAAATGTAGATTTTTTTTTTAGCTGTCTGTAGTTGTGTGAGTAAATGTTCATTTGTCTTCTGAGGAGCTGATTTTACCTTTCTGATCACACTGACACGGCCATATACTAACAGATGATCTCACTGTAGCGGAACAGAGGCCTGAAAATGTGTCAGGATTAAGGGAAGATGAGGCTCTCCTTAGGGTCACAGAGTCGGAATATGGAAGCCCAGGGCCGGAATGCTGGTGCCAGGCAACTTGGTGCCACAGCTACAGGAATCTGGAAATGGCTGGCTGTGTGAATGTCCCCAGGGGTGTCTTTGTCAGGGATGCTAAGACGCGCAGACACACAAGTGACCATCCTAGGAAGTTTATGCTCCCAGGTCCCTAGGAACAAGAGGCGGGGCATGCAAGGCCACACAGGAGTGGTGAGTCAGCCAGGAGGCAGCAGAGGTGCATGGAAGACCCAGGCCAGGGCCTTTATCGTGGGAAGGATCACACAAGGCAAGGTGAGCCAGCTGGTTAGGGCTGGTGGGTTCGAATCTTTCCAGCAGGCAGGAAACTCAAAACATTTCAACAGGACCTGGGCCACTGGGTGGTCCTGAGCTGTCCTGCGCCAGGCCCTGGGTGATTAAGGCTGAGGAGTAGTGTGTCTGGAGTATGGTGCCCAACGCAGGAGGTGATTCTGAGTGTGGACACTGGATTGGCTGCTTGCATAGGAAGGTTGTGCCGAAAGGCAAACCCTTCACTGTCTAGGAATTGGCCAGGCCCAGAGGGGCAGCAAGGCCCCAGATGCCCAAGCATCGTAACACACAGAAAACGTAAAGCCAGACCAATCGTTCTGTGTTTGTTCAAGTCTGTGGCAGGCCACCTGTGTCCGACCCCCGTCTTGCATCAGTCTTGTATCTGCCTCTGGGGAAGGCTTTCTACAGCAGTGCGCTCTGCACTGAGCTTGCAGGCTTGACATGAGAGTCCTTTTTATCTGTATTGCATAGTGTCCTGTAGATGATACATTTGGAGCCATCAGTGTTAGAAATCATAATTTTTCTTTTTTTTAGAGACAGGGTCTCGCTCTGTTTCCCAGGCTAGACTACAGTGGCACAATCATGGCTCACTATAGTCTTGACCCTGGGTTCAAGCGATCCTCCTGCCTCAGCCTCCTGAATAGCTGAGACCACAGAGGCGCACCACCACACCTGGGTATTTCTTAAATTTTTTCATAGAGATGGGGTCTCTATATTGGCCAGACTGGTCTTGAACTCCTGGGCTCAAGTGATCCTCCAGATTGGAGGGATTGCAGGGATCCTCCAGATTGCTTGGGCCCCCAGATTGTTGGGATTACAGGTGTGAGCCACTGCACCCAGCCTGAAATTATGGTTATTTCAGTGGTCATTACAACAATTTTGGCTTCCTTCTACCTTAAAAACCATGCTAGAAATATATTGTCTTTAATCCCAGAAATCCCATTTTTATAATTTAGAGTGTTAAACTAGAAAACAAAAAAGAACCCCAGAAAAACAGTTCTTGCAGGAACAAAATGCGACGGGGCGTAGTGAGTGTGTAACGGCCGTGTGAAGACGCGTCCTCTCTCCCTCCTGGGACTCTGCAGTCAGACGGAGTTGAGGGAGTTGAAGGAGAAACGCGCCTACACCTATGTGCTCGCTGAGACGCTGTTTCTCGGCAGTATGAGAGACCGCCGTCGTGTGGCACCTGGGTGTGTGGAACAGATCTCTCTTCCACATTAATCAGTCTCAACTGATAAGTCCGGCCGCACCATGCCGATTAATATCCTGTCCCCCTGCCCGATACTGATCATCCCTGCCCTGGATTTATCATCCTCTTACTCCCTCAATTTCCTGCAGGCTCAAGAGATCCCAGCTCCCATTCCCAGCCCCCGGCGCTTGGAGCAAGACTGGCCGCTGGATTCCAGTAAGGAGGGGCTCCTACTGCCCCACTCTCAGTGCTCCGATGGGAGAAGAGACGCTGCTGCCAGGGTCCTGCAGGCCCAGTGGAAGATGTACAAGCACAAGGTGAGGCTCCCCAAGGTGACCTGGGCTGCTCCCCCTGAGTCTTCATGCTCCAAGGCAAGCCACTCCCTCTCTAGGAATGATGAGGCCTGGAGGGCCAGTGGGGCTCCAGGTGTCCGAGCACCATAACATGCTGAAATAAAAAACCTCATTCACATACCGACTCATCCGTTCTGGGTGCATTTTGTTCAGTAGCGAACATCTCAGCCAGATTGCTTTTCATATAGCTTTCTCCCAGAACCATTCGAAAGTAAGTTTTAGACTTTACAAAACATCAGCATGTGTCTTCTAAGAAAAAGTGTCTTCTCCTACCTGACCACAGCACTGTGATCGCACCTAGGATGGTCACAGCAGTTTCATATCCTCACCTAATGGCCCTTCCTATTCACGTTCTCCAAATGTTCAAGATGCCACCTGCAGCTGTCTATTTCCTGCCAGTGGCCGGTCACAGCGGTGTTCGACCCATGTCCCGTCAGAGCCTGGGGGTTGGTTGGTTACATCTCCTTTCTTTTTTTTTTTTTTTTTTTTTTTGAGACGGAGTTTCGCTCTTGTTACCCAGGCTGGAGTGCAATGGCGCGATCTCGGCTCACTGCAACCTCCGCCTCCTGGGTTCAGGCAATTCTCCTGCCTCAGCCTCCTGAGTAGCTGGGATTACAGGCACGCGCCACCATGCCCAGCTAATTTTTTTGTATTTTTAGTAGAGACAGGGTTTCACCATGTTGACCAGGATGGTCTCGATCTCTCGACCTCATGATCCACCCGCCTCGGCCTCCCAAAGTGCTGGGATTACAGGCTTGAGCCACCGCGCCCGGCCTCCTTTCTTTTTTTTAACCAACACTTCATCCCGGCTGATTTTTGTTTGTTTGAGATAGAGTCTTGCTCTACTGCCCAGGCTGGAGTGCATTGGTGTGATCTTGGGTCACTGCAAGCTCCACCTCCCAGGTTCTAGCAATTCTCCTGCCTCAGCCTCCCAAGCAGCTGTGATTACACGTGCCCACCACCACAACCAGCTAATTTTTTTATTTTTAGTAGAGACATGGTTTCACCATGTCACTTGGTCTTGAACTCCTGGCCTCAAGTGATCCACCTACCTTGGCTTCCCAAAGCACTAGGATTACAGGCATGAGCCACCACACCCAGCCTTTTTTTTTCTTTTTTCATAGAGACAAGGTCTTACTCCATCACTCAGACTGGAGTACAGTGGAGTACCATCACAGCTCACTGCAGCCTCGACCTCTCCGGCTCAAGCAGTCCTCCAGCCTTAGTCCCCCAAGTAGCCGGGACTATAGGCAGGCACCACCACACCCTGACAATTTTTGTAGAGACTGGTCTTGCTATGTTGCTCAGGCTGGTCTTGAACTCCTGAGCTAAAGCCATTCTCCTGCCTCAGCCTCCCAGAGCACTGGGATTACAGGTGTAAGCCACCACACCTAGATTTCTTTCTTTCTTTTCTTTTTTTTTTTTTTTTTGAGATGGAGTTTCTCTCTTATTGCCCAGGCCGGAGTGCCATGCGGGGTGATCCAAGCTCACTGCAACCTCTGCCTCCTGGGTTCAAGTGATTCTCCTGCCTCAGCCTCCCAAGTAGCCGGGATTACAGGCATGTGCCACCATGCCCAGCTAATTTTTATATTTTTAGTAGAGATAGGGTTTCACCATGTTGGCCAGGCTGGTCTTGAACTCCTGACCTCAGGTGAGCCACCGTACCGGGCCACATTCAGTCTTTTAGAATGACCTGCAGTTGTTACTGGTTGTAATGCTCAGATCATGAGAACCTGGCCGCCGGGCCCCTCAGGTCTGCCCCTGGGCTGCTGTCCCAATGCATGCGTCCTCAGTTTTTGACACAGGAAGGTGCGGCCTCCCTGTGCTCTCCTCTCCCCAGACCTGGATTTCGCCATTTTTGAGCCATTGGGTTTTTAGAAGCAACTGGCCATTTGTGCACTTCCTCTTCCCCTTGCATAATTATAAAGATAAACCTCAGGCAAAGATAAAAAGGTATGTGCCAAGTGTCACAGCAAGGCTCGCCCCCACCCTCCACCCCGCTTGTGCAGCGCAGGTTGGGCACTGAGGCACTGGGGCAGCAACCCTCCCAGGCCGCCATCTGCACCTGGGCTACACTCCACTAGGCCGGGATGCCCTCAGGGCCCCGGAGCCACCTTTGCCATCGCTGCCTCCGTAAGCTCAGTCTCGCATGTTCTGACTCAGGCTCCATTTCTGTAAGCAACGTCATTGCTGTGTCTCTGGCTTCCTTGAGTCCCACCCCATTTCCCTTCGACTGTCACCTTCTTCATGCTTTATATTTGGACTTTGTGCATTCTCCAGTGTCCCCGACCCCCGAGCCTGGCCACTGTCTGTCCCTCTCATTGAGACTGTCTTTGCTGCACTCTGTATCGCCACTTTTATTCAGTGTGTATTTCTTTTTCTTTTTTTTTGAGACAGAGTCTCGCTCTGTGGCCCAGGCTGGAGTGCAATGGTGTGATCCTGGCTCACTGCAACCTCCGCCTCTCGGGTTCAAGCGATTCTTCTGCCTCAGCCTCCTGAGTAGCTGAGATTAGAGCCATGTGCCACCATGCCCAGCTAAGTTTGTATTTTTAGTAGAGATGAGGTTTCACCATGTTAGTCAGGCTGGTCTTGAACACCTGAGTTCATGATTCACCTGCCTCAGGCTCCTAAAGTGCTGGGAATACAGGTGTAGGCCACCTTGCCCAGCCTTATTCAGTGAATATTTCTCTGCTTCCATTTTATATTCTGTTGGTCCTTGTACTCAGTTCCTCCTTAATCTCCCAAGGGACAGATCCTTTGTACAGTAGTACAGATGTGGGCCGTGCACTCCGATTACTATGGAAAACATCTATAAGAACACATGCTCCGAGGGATTCTCTCTCCTGACTGTGATGTGGCGTGTGTCAGCTGCAGCCTGAGAAACTTCCCAAGATACCCTATGGTGACTCTGATGACCAGTCAAGTTGGGACCAGTGATCCAGACCCCAGAACCAAAGTCCCCTTTGTCACATCCCCATCAGGCAGCCTCAGCCTCCAAGTTCTGGGGCTTATCCAGGGAGGACACCGTGAGAGGGCTTTCTCACTTTGGTCCTCCTTACAAAGGCAGCACGGGAGGGAGTAGCCAGGGCACCCAGGCCTCTTGTTGGCTTGATCAACACCTGTTGGCAGGATCCAGGAAGGACACCCTGTGTGGGGAAACATTCATCTTGTAATTCATATTTTTTTCCCTTATTTCAGAAAAAAAAGGCTGTTCTGGATGAGGTAAGCAAGGTTTATTTCATCATTTTCAAAAAACGGATTTGTACTTTGTTATAAAGTAGGTAGGGGATATTTAAAGATGCATCAAGTTTTTTTTTTTTTTTTTTGGAGACAGAATCTCACTCTGGCCCAGGCTGGAGTGCAGTGACACAATCTTGGCTCACTGCAACCTCCACCTCCCGGGTTCAAGTGATTCTCCTGCCTCAGCCTCCCGAGTAGCTGGGACTACAGGTGTGCACCACCGTGCCTGGCTAATTTTTGTATTTTTAGTAGAGACAGGGGTTCACCATGTTGACCAGGATGGTCTCCATCTCTTGACCTCGTGATCCACCCAACTCGGCCTCCCAAAGTGCTGGGATTACAGATGTGAACCGCCGTGCCCAGCCCCATATTTATTTTTTAATTCATTTTTTTTTTTTTTGAGATAGAGTCTCACTCTGTCACCCAGGCTGGAGTGCAGTGGCACAATCTCGGCTCACTGAAACCTCTGCCTCCCAGATTCAAGCGATTCACATGCCTCATCCTCCCGAGTAGCTGGGACTACAGGTGCGTACCACCATGCCTGGCTAATTTTTGTATTTTTAATAGAGATGGGGGTTTTACCATATTGGCCAGACTAGTCTCAAACTCCTGGGCTCAATGGATCCTCCCACCTCAGCCTCCCAAAACACTGGATGACAGGTGTGTGCCACACCCAGCTAATATTTTGTACAGACAAGGTCTTGCTATGTTGCCCAGGCTGGTCTGAATTTCCTGGCCTTAAGCCTCCTAAAGTGCTGGGCTTATAGGCATGAACCGCTGCACCCAACCACATTTCTTAAGAAAATCACTTAAGATTAAGCTCAAAGGATAAAAAATTCTCTTAGGATCATTTTAGAGATCTTCTTGCCCCCTGCCTGATTTAGAAGATATATATGGAAACTAGATGAAACCAATACACTGTTCCAACCCAGAATAAACTCTGCCACATGAAAACGTAACTGTGTATGAAACAGCAGCTCCTGTTAGCAGCTGGAAAGGACTGCACTGAGCAGCGGGCTCCTTCCCATTTCCAGAGTCCGCTCACGTGGTATCAGGCATCGGTGCCTGTGCTCCCTGGGGCGCTAGTTAGTTTCCCACGGACTGGGGTGAGTGGGAGTGAGGACAACTCTTTGGGAGACTGTGGCTATGCTGCAGTGAGGGGCACTGCATTCCCTGCTGCCACATAGCTCTTCCCTCTGCGTCTCCCTCTCACCCACCATTGCCCTGGGCACTCACACTTGCTTTTCTCTCCTTCCTTCCCTGACAGGCGGCTGTGGTGCTTCAGGCAGCTTTCAGGGGACATCTGGTGCGGACAAAGCTCTTAGCAAGCAAAGCACGTGGCTCAGAGGCGCCCAGTGTGCCAGGCCTCCCAGACCAGGTAACATCGGGCGTAGGCCGTCCCACCAGCTGTCTCCAGCACTGCCTCTCTCACACTCCATCCACCGAGAAAGCACAGGGCACCGCTCAGCCTCCACATCCCTGCCTGTCCAGCAGGCATCCCCCACACTCCATCCCTGGCCACGCAGGCCATACAGGCCCCTCTTCACTGGCCCTGGATGGGTGTGGCTTTAGGGCCAGATTGCCTTGAACTGCCCAAGAGTCAAGTGGTTCCATAAAGATGTTGCTAAAAACTACTAAAGCCAGGCGCAGGCCATGCTGGCCCCTCCTCTGTAAGGAGGACAAGTGTTTGTTTCAGAATCTCTACTGTTTAAAACTTCAGAACCTGCCGCCAGGAGGTTTCTCACTGACCAGCAATTCCCAGGGAGCAGGGCCCCCGAAGGGGAAACTGAGCTCTTCCTGTCTCCCTGACACCCAGGGTGCAAGGGGGGCTGAGTTCTGGGAGCCAGTAGGGGGCTGCCACATGGTCATCTTCCCTTCTGTCCTTGCACCACAGGGCTTTCCCGTGCCCCATGTTGCGAGCTCCATCGCCCAGGCCGACGGCAGCCCTGCACAGGAGGCCATCGTCATCATCCAGTCCGCTCTTCGGGCACACCTGGCCCGGGCCAGCTACAGGTGAGTTGGGGTCACAGGGACGCGGGACACAGACGCTGCACGGGACACTGCCTGCTGCAGTGGGCCGAGAGCACTGGGCACAGGAACTGGAGCAGCACCTGCCGCCTGCCAGCAGGACCTCAGCTTGGGGCCAGAGTAAAGGCCTCATGTCCTGAGGACTCCCTGCCGTGCCACAGACGTGGAGTGGACTGGAAGTTCTGATCCTCAGGGAGAGGACTTTCCAGAGTCCCTTCTTCCCTACTGGGAGGAGACCAGCCGAGGAGCTTCAGACACTACAGAGCTCAGGTCACCATCCATCTGTGGCCTGGCTTTCGGCTGTGCTGTTACGTTATCCCTTTGTAAAGAAAACTGTGATGTGATCTCATTGTTGGCCATGGCACATGATAGGTGACTCGTGCAGGGTCTAGATGGCAGCCTTCCCACTGGCCTCCTTGGCAGATTCGCTAGGACTCTCTTGGTGGCAGAAAACCCCTTGAAGTGAACCTGGGCAGAGGGGGAGTTCAGTAAGGGGAAGAGACGGCCCCGCTCCCTCACCCGCTCTGCTTCACCTCGCGTGGGGCTCACGCCCCTCTTACCATGGACACTCTGGTTCTCAGCCTCTATGGCACAGCCGCACAACCAACCAGCACTTCAAGTGGGCCATTTCCCCCTACCAGGCTGCATCTGCATCTCATGGTCCTGAACCCATGTGACCTGGAACATGCTATGGATTCAGCTGAGTCGGGGGCCCATCCCTGGGCAGGGAGCCCCAGCCAGGACGTGGAGGGCCATGCAGCCTGTGACCACATCCCCTGGGAATGGCAGCTGCCCGACCCAGACAGGAGACAGGGAAGGGAGGTCTGAGGCCCTTTATAAAACCGAACTGGCCTGACGTCAACATGGGCACTGAGGAGATGGACAGGGGACATACGTATCTGAGGCTCTTCACGACCAGACGTGTCAGGATCCTGGGCGCATCTGGGGTACAGGCCTAAACGTGTGTTTGCTTTTATTGGAATATTTGCCTCCAGGCAAATTGCTGAGCCCTGCTGTAAACCTCAGAGAGGTCTGTATTCTCTAAAGTCAGAATCAGCTGGAGTTTTCTTTTTTCTAGCGCTACCAGTAAAAGAACCACCACATCAGCTTCTGCTAAGAGGAGATCAGCTTCAGCTACACACGGGGACGCCTCCTTGCCACCCTTCCTGGCAGCTCCTCCTGGTAATTTCATTCATTTGGATTATGGCACGAGGGCAGCTGTTCTGCTGAGGTCTAAGCCAAAGAGTAGCCGCCTCCAGGAAGCCTGGGCTGTGTTGGGACAGAAAGGAGGAGTGTCCCATCTGGAGCTGCCTTGAACTAAGCATCGCCTTATGCGAGAAAGGCCCCTGACGGGGCCTCCCTTGGCCCAGCTTGCTCCTTGTCCCTGGGACTGTAGAGGTCCTTGCTGTCTGTCTTTCTGCTCTCAGCTCCGTTGGGACCAAGGCAGCTTCCTCCTTTGGGCGAGCATTTCTCTCGTTTGTTCATTTGCTAAGTAAAACTTTGTTACTATTTCCTTTTCTACTTTGTTAAAGCCCAAAACCACTCGGTAAAGAAGTCCCTGGCACTGTAGGATGCCACACCCTCATATGAGGCTTCATCCCTGCTCTGGCCGGAGCTGACGGGGGATGCCCCAGCAGGGCCCTGCCTTTCTCTGGCCATCAGTCCCCTCATGTGCCAAGTAGTGAATGGGCTAGACAGCTTGAAAGCCACTTTTTGTTTTTGAGACAGAGTCTCACTTTGTCACCAGGCTAGAGTGCAGTGGCATGATCTCGGCTCACTGCAACCTCCGCCTCCCGGATTCAAGTGATTCTCCTGCCTCAGCCTCCCACCCAAGTAGCTGGGACTACAGGTGTGCACCAATATGCTCGGCTAATTTTTGTATTTTTAGTAGAGACAGGGTTTCACCATGTTGGCCAGGATGGTCCCGATCTCTCGACCTTGTGATCCGCCTACCTCAGCCTCCCAAAGTGCGGGGATTACAGGCGTGAGCCACCACACCCAGCCAAAAGCCTGTCTCCACCTCCAAATTTCTGCTGCTCTGTGTGCACTGGAGATTCCGTTCTTATTCTGCAGTTAGAAACCCCTCACTGACACTTTTCTGTAAACAGAGGCTGAGTGCAGAGGCATGGTGTTGAGACCAGAGGCTGTCAGGAGATGGACAAGTGCATCTTGAGACCCTGTAACGCGTGTGGCATGCAGGGCTGTCTCGCATGCGAAGTGTCAGGCCAAGGGCTTTGCCATGTGGAGTCCTTAGGTCTCCAGGGTAGAGTTGGGGAAGGACAGGGGAGGAGACAGGACAGCAAGAAAAACTACAAAGAAAGTGGCTCTCCTGAGCCCAAAGGGTGAGGGCAAGGAGGGCTAGTGGGCAAAGGAAGGATGAGGCCTGCCTGGGACCACGTGCCTTAGTTTCAGTGTCCCTGCAGGACAGGCCCGGGGAGCTGGCAGCCCCTCAGCACCACTCCAGTAAGTGTGGCGGGCGGAGGCCTCGCTTTCCCAAGGAGATCCCTCCTGTGATGACACAGAGGGAGTCACGGGAAGAGGCCCTGCAGCAGACCTGGAGGCCCCAGAGCCTGCCCTCCCAAGGGGGTCCCACTGGGGCTTTGTTTTAGAGTATCTCCTGCATGAGCCAAGACTTCTACAGCACAATTTGTCCTGGTAATCACCACATAGGACATTACATTTTATTCATTTCAGTCATTTCTTAACCTAGTTTCGTCAGAGCTAGAAAACTTTGATGTTCTCTCCAAAACCTCCATTTGTGAAGCTCAACAAAAAGATGAGCAGCCCTGGGGTTTCAGGGAACATGTACAGACATGCAAAGCCTGAAAAGCCGCCGAGCCTGCCTGTGACTCTCGGGCTCTGCAAAATGCTGTGAATTGTTTTCCAGGAGCCGATTCTGCCGGCCTCACCAGACTCTGCGTGGGTGACCTGTAGCAGCTTTGATCAGGGCTAAAGCCTTCATTGATGCTGCCCTTTTCTCTTGCTAAACACAAGTGATTTTAAAGGGGCAGGTTCATCATCCTGCCTGAAAGCACCATCACAGTGCCCCAGGGATCCAGCTTTACCGACCTAAGGAAATGTCTCTGTGAAAAGTATAAATCAAGCTTTTGTTTGAGCTGATTTTTTTTTTTAAGAGAAAAAGGAGATAGACTTGAAAGCTGTTTTTAATTTCATAAGGTTCTCTACGATTCAAGAGAACAAAGACCAAAACCTGACTCCAGCCACTTTCTATCTGTGTAAATTGCTTTATTCTCTCTTTTCTTTCTTGTTCACTCTGTTACACAGGCTAGAGTGCAGTGGTGCCTTCATGGCTCACTGCAGCCTTGACCCCCCAGCCCCAAGCGATTCTTCCACCTGAGTTTCCCAAGTAGCTGGGACTAGAGGCATGCACTGCCATGTAGAGACAAGGTCCCACTATGTTGCCCAGGCTGGTTTTGAACTCCTGGGCTAGAGTTAGAGGCCTGAGCCATTGCACCTAGCCTTTATCTGCATAACTTCCAACAATGAACTTTCAGACTCTGTCTCAGTTCTCATAACTATAAATCACACTACAGTGGATATAATTAACCTAAGAATTAAATGCATAAAGCATGATGCCTAGTACATGGAAAATAGTAAATGTTAGCTTCTTCAAAATCAAGGTCTGCCTTCAGAATGGACTAAGTGATCTCTTCAGAACTCATCACGAAGACAGAATCTCATTATCTGACCCCGGTTCTCTGGCATTCCCTGTGTTTTCATCATACCTAAGTGAGTCAGATCCACACTATCCCCATTAATGTCCTACATCAGTGGTCCAGCTATTTTTGGTTAATAATCAATTTCTTTGAGAATCTGATAAAAAGCTCCCCTTCCACACTCTCTTGTGGAAGCCTGTCTTCTCCTCCTAAACTCCATCTCTCTCTATTCCCTTCCACTCAGGGTGGAAGCTGCTCTCCTCTCCTGGATTCTGTCTTTCTGGATTGTCTCACTCAGTGTGAGAGGTAGCTCTTTCTTTCTCTGTCCTCCTCCTGTTTCTCTCTCTCGCTGTCTAAATAAATCATTTTCTACCAACAAAACAAAACAAAGAAAGCTATGGGTCCCCTCTCTCCAAAAAAGCTTAGTGGTACAAAAGATGCTTATAACTTGGGAGCTGAGGAGGATCACAAACCCTGAGGACACCCTGAATGAAACCCAGGTACACCCATCACTCTAGACTGTCCTTCTGCCTTGATGCAGTGCCCTGGATGGGCTGCAGCTCCTCATTAGAAGGCCTCTGGGCTCCCAAACACATCTGTTTTACCTGGTTCATGGTTTTGCGTGGGCGATGGCATTGGAGGAGCAATGGCCGAGACTTGTCGTCGGAACGCTCATGGTTGTTGGAACACTCGTTGTTGGAACACTCGTCGCTGGAACACTTGTGGTCGTTGGAACAGTGGTGCTCGTTCTAACAGTTGAAACAGTCGTGACAATTGGAGTAGTCATGACCCTGGCTGGAGTGAGAAATCAACATGAGAGTGCGCGTGAGTCAAACAACAAACAAGAGTGTCAGGCTGGAACTGTACCCTAGCACACCAGTGACAGACTGTCCCTAGGTGGTATTATCTCCCCTGAACTCTCAATCTTGGTCATTGCCCAGCTAGAATCTGTGACAGGGAAGGGCTTTGGAGACATGCCCCTCCTTCCAAAGGAAGAGCAGATGTATTGAAAGGTGTATATTCAGCAAGTAAAAACACACACCTCATATTTGCATAGGAGCACTTTTTTTGGGTCAGGGTCTCACTCTGTCATCCAGACTGGACAGCAGTGGCATGATCAGCAGCTCACTGCTGCCTCAAACTCCCAGGTTCAAGCAATCCTCCTGCGTCAGCCTTCCACGTAGCTGGGACTACATGCAGGCATCAGCACACCTGGCTAATTAAAAGAAAGAAACAAAAACCCTTTTTTTGTAGAGGCTGGGTGTGGTGGCTCATGTATGTAATCCTAGCACTTTGTGGGACCAAGGTGGGTGGATTACTTCAGCTCAGGAGTTCAGAGTTCGAGACCAGCCTGGGCAACAGAGCAAAACCCCATCTCTACAAAAAATAGCCAGGTATGGTGGCACATGCCTGCAATCCCAGCTACTCAGGAAGATGTGGCACAAGAATTGATTGAACCCCAGAGATGGAGGTTGCAGTGAGTTGAGATCAGGCCACTGCACTCCAGCCTGGGAAATAAAGTAAGACCCTGTCTCAATTTGAAAAAAAAAAAAAGAATCAACCTGATCCTGCTCACCCTTATCCCTTATAAGGGAAACAATCCAAGTCAAAAAAGCTAGGAGACTGGGGCTGTAGCCTTGTGACAAAAATAATAATAATAATAATAATAGACTGCAAATTAAAGTTCCTCTTAATTAAAATGAAAATAGAGACAAAGTTTATTAAGGTCATAGGTATTGGGTTCTATTATCATTGTAAGACCTTAGTAGAAGAAGATTCATTAAGAAAAAGCAACAGCCAGGTGTAGTGGTTCACTCCTGTAATTCCAGCACTTTGGGAGACCGAGGCTGGCAGATCAGGAGTTCGAGACTAGCCTGGCCAACATGGTGACACCTTGTCTCTACTAAAACTACAAAAATTAGCATGCATGGTGGTGATGCCTGCAGTCCCAGCTACTCGAGAAGTCGAAGCAGAAAAATCACTTGAACCCGAGAGGCGGAGGTTGCAGTGAGTCAAGATCATATTACTGCACTCGAGTCTGGGTGACAGAATGAAACTCCATGTCAAAAAAAAAAAAAAAAAAGAAAAGAAAAAGCACCAGAAATGAGGAAATCCTCAAGAACCAACTTCTTTCCTCAAATGGTAAGAAAAAATAGTATGGCCACATAAAGATGATAAAATAGAATGTTCCCAGATTTTGGATTTCATGAACTTCTTAAAAACAACTGGTGAACAGGTGTTGGAATAGAAATGGTTCCATCTAAGGTCACTTTAATTTTCAGAATAGCAATTTTTGTGACATGATGTGAGACATGTTTCAAAAAATCCAAGTTTGGGCCATTGGGAAGATAAAACTATAAGCTTATACAGTATATGTGGTCAGCAAGATTGAGCTGACAATTGTTAAAGCTGTTGATGTATCTACAGGCAGTAACTTATATTTCCTACTTTTTATGTTTGAACTCCATTATAGTTTTAAAATGTTAAAAAAAAAAAGGGGGGGGGTGGGACATTTTAACATTATTCTCATAAAAAAAAAAAAGGAGGGTTCCTAGGCCAAGTATAGTAGTTCACGCCTGTAATCCCAGCACTTTAGGAGGCCTAGCCTGCTGCCTGGGCAACAGAGTAAGACTCCATCTCAGAAAACAAACAAAGACAGTTCCTTATTTTTTAAATTTTTTTTTGAAATGGAATTTTGCTCTTGCTGTCCAGGCTGGAGTACAATAGCATGATCTTGGCTCACTGCGACCTCTGTCTCCTGGGTTCAAGCAATTTCCTGTCTCAGCCTCCTGAGTAGCTGGGATTACAGGCATTCGCCATCACACACATAGCTAATTTTGTATTTTTTAGTAGAGATGGGGTTTCTCCATGTGGTCAGGCTGGCCTCGAACTCTGGATCTCAGGTGATCCACCTGCCTCAGCCTCCCAAAATGCTGGGATTATAGGTGTTAGCCACCCACTGTGCCCGGCCAGGACAGTTCTTTAAGGTGAATAAATAAAATTCACTGCATTTTACTATGGAACAGTAAATGCTATTTCATGGACCAACTACTACGTTTGAAGTACATTTGGCCCTCCATATTTGTGGGTTCCATATCCATAGATGCAACCAAGACTTTGGCTGGAAAATGTATGGGGGAAAAAGAAGAATATGTTATCTGCTGTACTGAACAAGTATACACTTTTTTTTGCTTGTCATTATTCCCTTAATAATGCAGTATAACAACCAATTGCATAGTATTTACATTGTATTAGGTGTTATAAGTAATCTGGAGATGATTTAAAGCATATGGGACTATGTGCGCAGTTTACATGCAAATACTACACCCTTTTATATAAGGGACTTGAGCATCTGCAGATTTTGGTGTCGAAGGGGTCCTGGAACCAATTTCCCATGGATGTCAAGGGACAGTTGTACTGCTTTAGGAGATAGTTTGCTGATTTTAGCCTGACCTTGAGTTATGCTTGGCCTTGCAATTTCATCCATACAAAAGTGATTCTATTTCCCAAGAACAAGAGTTTATTTAAAAACAGGATTTATGGACTGGGCACGGTGGCTCAAGCCTGTAATCCCAGCACTTTGGGAGGCCAAGGCGGGTGGATCACGCGGTCGAGAGATCGAGACCATCCTGGTCAACATGGTGAAACCCCGTCTCTACTAAAAAAATACAAAAAATTAGCTGGGCATGGTGGTGCGTGCCTATAATCCCAGCTACTCAGGAGGCTGAGGCAGGAGAATTGCCTGAACCCAGGAGGCGGAGGTTGCGGTGAGCCGAGATCGCGCCATTGCACTCCAGCCTGGGTAACAAGAGTGAAACTCCGTCTCAAAAAAAAAAAAACAAAAAACAGGATTTATGGCTAATGCCCTTTTCGGCCTTAGCCCACCTGCACCCAGGTGAATTAAAAAACAAAAAAAACAGGATTTATAGGAACCTCCTGTTTCCCTATTAAGAAAAAAGAAAATTACTACCAAACAGAAAATTCTATTAACCAGCAAGAAATATCAAAGAAAAACTTACGTGGTATAATCTCCAATGATATGGTGATTCTCATGTCATTGAACCATCCCCCTGTGCTCAACATGGCAACAGTACAAGCCACTGTCAGACACAACTGTATTTTGTATAGTCAAAAAAACATTCCTTTTTCAAAGGTCCCCCAATAGCTGATAGCGTGAGTTTTTCCAATAGTTGACGTGGGTTCCATTTGTCCAGACAGTGCTATTTGTGCACAGCCAAGTACATCCACCTCTCTTCCAGCACATGGGTGTGACTGCTCCGCTGTAGCTGCAGGGTAGCGTGACAGAACAACCTGCCACTGCACCAACACTTGCAGAAATTACAGCATCTGCAATGAAGAAAAGACAAACTGAGAATGAGGCCTCAATATTTCCTCTCGGCTGGGCACCGCAGCTCATACCTGTAATCCCAGAACTTTGGGAGGCCAAGGCGGGCGGGTCAACTGAGGTCAGGAGTTCAAGAGCAGCCTGGCCAACATAGTGAAACCTGGTCTCTACTAAAAAATATAAAAATTAGCTGGGTGTGATGGTAGGTGCCTGTAATCCCAGCTACTTGGGACGGTGAGGCAGGGAGAATTGCTTGAACTCAGGAGGTGGAGGTTGCAGTAAACGGAGATTATGCCACTGCACTCCTGCCTGGGCTGGCAGAGCAAGACTCTGTTCTCCAATGCAAAAAAAAAAAAAAAAAAAAAAAAAAAATCTTAGTTTTTTTTACTTATTTTACTTTGTTTTTTTTTTTTTTTTTTTTTTTTTTTTGCCTTTTTTGGTTTTTTATTTTAGGTTTTTTGTTTTACTTTTTAAAAAATATATTCATTTTTTAATTTTTTTTTTTTTTGAGACAGAGTCGCACTCTGTCACCCAGGCTGGAATTCAGTGGCCTGATCTTGGCTCACTGCTACCTCTGTCTCCTGGGTTCAAGCAATTCTCATGCATCAGCCTTCCAAGTAGCTGGGATTACAGACAAACACCACCGTGCCCAGCTAATTTTTTTCTATTTTTAGTAGAGACAGAGTTTTGCCTTGTTGCCCAGGCTGGTCTCAAACTCTTGGCCTCAAGTGATCTGCCTGCCTTGGCTTCTCAAAGTGCTAGGGTTACAGGAGTGAGCCACTGCCGCCCTACCTTTATTTTACTTTTTAACTTGTGTTTTAACTTTTTTCTTTGTATAGTTTGTTCTGTAAGTGCTAGGCTTACAGGAATGAGCCACTGCCACCCTGTTTTTATTTTACTTTTTAACGTATATTTTAATTTTTCTTTATATAGTTTGTTCTATAAGTTGACTTCATTTTATTATTTATTTATTTATTTTGAGACGGAGTCTCACTCTGTTGCCCAGGCTGGAATGCAATGGCACAATCTTGGCTCACTCCAACCTCTGCCTCCCAGGTTCAAGCAATTCTTATGCCTCAGCCTCCCAAGTAGCTGGGAGGCTAATTTTTGTATTTTTAGTAGAGACAGTGTTTCAATATATGGCTCACGCCTGTAATCCCAGCCCTTTGAGAGGCTGAGGTGGTTGGTTCATGAGGTCAGGAGTTTTAAGACCAGCCTAGCCAAGATAGTGAAAATATAAAAAAATTAGCCAGGCATGGTGGTGGGAGCCTGTAATCCCAGCTACTAGGGAGACTGAGGCAGAGAATTGCTTGAACCCAGGAAGTGGAGGTTGCAGTGAGCCGAGATTGGGCCAATCTTTTTTGAGACTGTCTCAAAAAAAAAAAAAAAAAAAAAGAGCTGGGCGCGGGGGCTCACGCCTGTAATCCAAGTACTTCTTTGGAGGCCAAGGTGGGTGGATCACCTGAGGTCAGGAGTTCAAGACTAGCCTGACCAACATGGTAAAACCCTGTTTAAAAAAAAGAAAAAGAAAGAAAGATTGCCCAACGGCACTCCAGGCAGAGTGAGACCTCATCAAGAAAGAGAGAAAGAAAGTCCGGGCACGGTGGCTTACACCTGTAATCCCAGCACTTTGGGAGGCTGAGGAGGGCAGATCATGAGGTCAGAAGATCCAGATCATCTTGACCAACATGATGAAACCCCTGTCTCTACTAAAAATACAAAAATTAGCTGGGCATGGTGGCATGTGCCTATAATCCCAGGTACTCAGGAGGTTGAGGCAGGAGAACCGCTTGAACTAGGGAGTCAGAGATTGCAGTGAGCCAAGATTGTGCCACTGCACTCCAGCCTGGAGACAGAGTGAGACTCCATCTTCATTAAAAAAAAAAAAAAAGAAAAGAAAGAGAGGAAGAAAGGAAGGAGAGAGAGGAAGAAAGTGAAAGAGAGAGGGAGGGAGGAAGGAAGGAAAGAGAAAGAGGAAGAGAGAGAGAAAGAATTGAATGTAGTTGAAAAAAATCAAAAGGCACAAAGAATACAATGAGGGTAAACTCTCCCTCCACCTCCCATCCTCCACCCCCACCCCACAGTACCCACAGTTACCATTACCTATATACATGTGTCTATGCATACACATCTAGCCATTCCTTTTTTAGTTAAATACAAATGGCCACATGTGACACACTGTGCTGCATCTTGCCGTGTTCATGTAGCAATGAATGTTGTAATTCATAGCAGTTAAGCAATTTCTTTGGCATAAAACTCTATTCTGGTCCTGCTCACTAGTTAACTCATAGCCATCCAATGGTGCCCAAAGAACATCTACATTCAGCCACCACCGTCCCCTCCCCTTCTCCTACCCCATCCTCTGGGCTTCTAACCCCCCTTTATTCCCTTCTTCCCACTGAGGGCGTGTACTCATTTACCTGCTAGAAGTAGGATGAGGCTTAAGACGACCCCTTGAGGAGGCATTATGAGGTTGACCTGAAGGAAAATGAGCAGACGGACTGGTTGGTACCCCCCACCAGATGGTATCCGTTCAAGTCTTAATTCTCAGATTGTGACTTCTCTTTTCACCCAACTGGATGATTTATATGAGCCTGCTCTGCTGGGAATGAGACAAGACCACACACAAAACGGCTTCAGAGCTCTGTTTGTTAGTTTTCTGTGGCTGAGACTCTGTACCTTCCAAAGGACAGGGAAAGCTGTCCGCAGAAACAGCCCCTGATTTCCCAGCTTCTTCCCCACTTAGAGCCTCCAAACTGACTCCTGGTCCTGATACAGGAAATTGGGGAACAAAAAGGAAACTGGAAGCAGAGAACCCGTGTGGCTCAACGGCAGCACGCGAGCTAAGGCCAGCCTTCCAGCGGCAGAGATGCACTTGCTTTTCCGAGGAAACTGGGCCTTTGATGGATGCGGGGCTCTTCCTGCTCAGTCGCCACAACAACTCATCCCTAGTCTTAACAGTCACATTACCAAGTTTGCCATTAGCAAGAGGAATTAAGAGTGAATGTGAGTCACTGCACCTAACCTTTCATCCTCCGGACAACGATTCAGACTGCACCTTACCAAGGGATTTCGAGAGAATGCTTCCGAAAACCAGCTTCAGGAAACTGGAGCAAACACGTTCATATCCAGGCTCTCTCACTCACAGTGCTGGGTGACCCTGAGAGTTCCTGAACCTCTTCAAACCCCTATTTCCTCAGTTGTAAAATAGCACTAAAAATACTTCCTCTATCTCCCACCAGGGATTGGTATAATAAGCAAAAGCAACCATGGAAGAACTTCGAAAACTAAACCTACATAGGCACTAATAGCACTAGCTAAGGATTTTGGAGAAGTTTTTTTTTTTTTTTTTTTTTTTTTTTTTTTTTTGAGACGGAGTTTCGCTCTTGTTACCCAGGCTGGAGTGCAATGGCGCGATCTTGGCTCACCGCAACCTCCGCCTCCTGGGTTCAGGCAATTCTCCTGCCTCAGCCTCCTGAGTAGCTGGGATTACAGGCACGCACCACCATGCCCAGCTACTTTTTTGTATTTTTAGTAGAGACGGGGTTTCACCATGTTGACCAGGATGGTCTCGATCTCTCGACCTCGTGATCCACCCGCCTCGGCCTCCCAAAGTGCTGGGATTACAGGCTTGAGCCACCGCGCCCGGCCGAGAAGTTATTATATAGCAGGCTCTATGTCAAGGACCCACACGCATTAAATCTGGCTGTTGAATTCTGCTCTTAATCATTAAACCATACAAACATGAGTAAGCTTGCCTAGTACTTCATTAACTCCTCTTCTGGTCTAAGAATTCAGAACTTCCAAGGAGGCAGTGGTGCTCTGTATCTTGCAGCTTATGACAGGCTTCGTGGGAAAGTGGATAGTCTTGGCATACTGTGGCTGTGGGTCGCAGGCTACCGAGGAGTAGGAACCCCTGACTCCTGCAGCCTCTGTACTCTGACATGATATCTGATGCTACTAACGTGACGCAGACGAAATTCGGCCTGCAAGTGTTTTGTATGGCAGCGTTTAAAAATGCATTTCTTGGCCAGGTGCACTGGCTCGTGCCTGTAACCCCAGCACTTTGGGAGGCCAAGGCAGGTGGATCACCTGAGGCCAGGAGTTCAAGACCAGCCTGGCCAACATGGCAAAACCCTGTCTCTACTAAAAATACAAAAATTAGCAGGGTGTGGTAGCAGTTGCCTATAATCCCAGCTCCTTGAGATGCTGAGGCAGAAGAATCGCTTGAACCTGGGAGGCAGAGGTTGCAGTGAGCAGAGATCACACCACTGCACTCCAGCCTGGGAAGCAAGAGTAAAACTTCATCTCAAAAAAATAAGAATTCATTTCTTGCTGGGCACAGCAGTTCATGCCTGTAATCCCAACACTGGGAGGCCGAGGTGAGCAGATCACCTGAGGTCAGGAGTTTACACCAGCCTGGGCAAAACAGCAACTCTCTCTCTCTGCAAAAACCAGAAAAATTAGCCAGGCCTGGTGGTTTTGCAAGGCGCTCTCTCTGCAAAAACCAAAAAAGTTAGCCAGGCCTGGTGGTACATGCCTGTAGTCCCAACTACTCAGGAGGCTGAGGCAGGAGGATTGCTTCACCCTAGAAGTTGGAGGCTATGATCATGCCACTGCATGCTAGCCTGGGTGACGGAGCAAGACCCTGTTTCTTAAGGGAAAAGAAAAAGATTTTTTAAAAATTTGATGTAATCCAATTCTACCACTTATTACTAATACATTGAGCTAATGGGACATGACTCAATATACTAAGGATGTGAAAAGTCCAGAATTGTGCAATCGGGCAGGGACATGGGTAAGTAAGTAACTAATGAAATCAGAACGAGGTAAATATATAATCAGACCACATCATTCCCCACTTACAACCCTCTCATACCTCTCTCAGAAAAAAAAAAAAAAAAAAAGTCCTAAATCTTTACTCAAATTACTGAAGCCCTAGTGATCTGGCTGTGACCTACCCCACAGATTTCTTCCACCACTCTCTCCCCTGCTCACTCAGCCCCAGCCATGAGAACTTTCTTTCCAATCTGCCTCAACCCGACGGCCTTTTTCCTGGCTGTGTTCTCCATCTAGCTTCCCCCATCCCCCTATTTTCACTTTTTTCCTTTTCATTTTTATCCTGGCTTAAATGTTACCTGCCTGAACATTTCACTGGCCCCTCAATCTAAAGTAGCCAAGCAGTTCCTCTCTCTATTATTACCTTATTTCCCTTAATCCATTTTAACTGTGTGTGTAATACATGTGGTATCTGTCTCTATTCCCTCCTGTAGAGTGCTGTCCAATAGAATTTTGGTAACGGAGTTATTCTGTGTGAGTGCTGTTCACTACAGTAGGCATTAGCCATATATGACTATTGAGTACTTTAAATGTGGCAAGTGCCAACTAAGGCAATTTTTTTTGTTTTGTTTTGTTCTGAGACAGAGTGTCACTCTGTCACCCAAGCTGGAGTACAGTGGCACAGCCTTGGCTCACTGCAACCTCCGTCTCCTGGGTTAAAGTGATTCTCTAACCCCAGTCTCCTGAGTAGCTGGGACTACAGACGTGTGCCACCACGCCTGGCTAATTTTTGTATTTTAGTAAAGACGAGGTTTCACCATGTTGTCTAGGCTGGGCTCAAACTCCTGGCCTCAAATGATCTGCCCACCTTAACCTCCTAAAGGGCTGGGATTACAGGTGTGAGCCTCCATGCATGGCCTAAAATTTTTTATTTAATTTTATTTTAATTAAAATTTTGGACTGCTTGAGCCCAGGAGACAGTCTTCAGGGAGTTGAGATGGCATGGCTGCACTCAAGCCCTGGATTACAGAACTTCCAAATAAATAAATAAAATTTAGGCAAGGCGCAGTGGCTCACGACTGGAATCCCAGCACTTTGGAAGGCTGAGGCAGGTGGATCACCTGAGGTTCGGAGTTCAAGACCAGCCTGACCAACATGGAGAAACCCCATCTCTACTAAAAATCCAAAATTAACTGGGTGTGTTGGTACATGCCTGTAATCCCAGCTACTTGGGAGGCTGAGGCAAGAGAATGGCTTGAACCTGGTAGCTGGAGGTTGCAGTGAGCCAAGATGGCACCACTGTACTCCAGCCTGGACAACAAGAGCGAAATTCCATCTCAAAAAATAATAATAAAAATAAAATTTAAATTGCCACACATAGTGATTGTGTTGCATAGCACCCAACTCCAGACCATAAACTCCTTAAAGGCAATTTAAGTATTAATTGAGGACAGGCACAGTGGCTCACACCTGTAATCCTCCCAAAGGAGGCTAAGGTGGGAGGATCACTGGAGGTTAGAAGTTCCAGACCAGCCAGGGCAACATGGTGAAACCCTGTCTCTACTAAAAATGCAAAAATTAGCCAGCCATGGTGATGGGTGCCTGTAATCCCAGCTACTTGGGAGGCTGAGGCAGGAAAAATGCCTGAACCCAAGAGGCGGAGGGTGCAGTGAGCAGAGATCACTCCACTACACTACAGCCTCAGCCACAGAATGAGATTTAGTCTCAAAAAAAAAAAAAAAAAAAAGTATTAATTGAGTCTGGGGGCGGTGGCTCATGCCTGTAATCCCAGCACTTTGGGAGGCCGAGGTGGGTGGATCACAAGGTCAAGAGATCAAGACCATACTGGCCAACATGGTGAAACCCTGTCTGTACTAAAAATATAAAAATTTGCTGGGCATGGTTGTGTGCGCCTGTAGTCCCAGCTATTCGGGAGGCTGAGGTAGGAGAATTGCTTGAACCTGGGAGGTGGAGGTTGCAGTGAGCCGAGATCGCGCCACTATACTCCAGCCTGGTGCCTGGTGACAGAGCGAGACTCTGTCTCCAAAAAAAAGGATTAATTGAATAGATACACAAATGGAAACACAAACCCATAGGAAAAGACCATTCGTTTTGATGACAGGGTGTGGGGGGTGGGAAGAATTTCTAAAAAAGTGACATTTGAGAAGAATGGGTGGAAAGTGTTTCAAGTGGAGGAAATAATGGGCCAGAGAGAGCCAAGACAGGGATGTGGAGCCAAGGCTCTGAGATGCTACATAGCTGTGCAATCCCATAGGATTGAACCTTCTGACATGAGACTGTCTCCCATGAGAGATGCCTGTGTCCTGAAGACTCCCAGATAATATAGCACAGGGGACTCTTTTCTTTATGAGCTATACAACCTCCATGAATCATACTCTTTAGGGCCAACTTCATGACCCCCTGAAGGATGCATCCCAGTTGCGGGGTAGCCTTCGGGTGGGGCTGGAGGTGACAATCCTTGGGCACCAAAGCTGAATTTCCAGTCACTCACTAGGGAGCTGCATGGGTGTAAAGCAAAATTAACAGCTGTGAATTGAAATGATTCAGAACCTAGGCTGGGCACTGTTGCTCACACCCTTAATCCCAGCTACTCAGGAGGCTGAGGCAGGAGAATCACTTGAACCCAAGAGGTAGAGGTTATAGTGAACCGAGATCGCACCACTGTACTCCAGCCTGGGAGACAGTGAGACCCTGTCTCAAATAAATAAATAAATAAATAAATAAATAAAATAAAATAAAATAATTCATTGTTCTTTCCTGCAACCCCCACTTACTTACTTCCCTGCTATCTCAGCACACATCTTATCTCTAGCTCCAGCCTCCTGCAAAACAGGTCAGCTGCTCATATTCCCCATGCTCTCACCACAGCAAGTCCCCCTCCACAAGTAGGGACTCGCCAACTCCATGTCATTGTACCTGTCAATCTCTCCCTCATCCCCGTCACTTTCTATTAGGCCTCTATAACCCAGACTGCTGCCATTCCCTCCAAAACTGTCTTCCTACCTTCCACGTCTCTTCCTGCCTGTCCACTGCCTTAAGCTAGTTATTTTCCTTTACTCCTCTGATTTCACAACAAGTAATATTGTTTTTTATATCTTTTATAAAGATTATACAAGTTACAAGGTACCTATGTTTATCATAGAAAATATATAAAAGGCCAGGCATGGTGGCTCACTCCTGTAATCCCAGCATTTTGGGAGGCTGAGGCAGGAGGATCACTTGAGGTCAGGAGTTCAAGACCAGCCCGGCCAACATGATAAAACCCTGTCTCTACTAAAACTACAAAAATTAGCTGGGCGTGGTGGCACATGGTTACAAGTCCACCTACTAGGGAGGCTAAGGCAAGAGAATCACTTGAACGTGGGAAGTAGAGATTGTAGTGAGCTGAGATCACACTGCTGCACTCCAGCCTGGGTGACAAAGTGAGACTGTGTCTCAAAAAAAAAAAGAATATTTTAAAATACCGCAAGTGTACTCGTTTAACAATTATTTGTTGACAATCTGCAATATGTTAGAAATGATCTATT